ACTAGGCCTTTTCCTGAATTTGGTACATCTAAAAATACATGATGTAAAAGTTGTGAGGTTAAGTTAAAACTTGGAAGATCACAACTTAAGTTCACTGCAAATATATACTAAAGCAACTGAGCAACTAGGTTCAAAGATTTTCGAGGCAAATACGTGACATATCAACCTATTTCGAACAAAATGCATGACACATACGGAATTCGCGTAATAGTCCGAACGGAATGCAGATTTTTTTTAAATATCAACATAATGCATGATTTGCGTGACATTTCAGCAATCACGCAAAATTGATGCTTGATTTCAATTTTTCCAGCAAATGCGTGACAATCACGCCTAATGTGTGAGGGTTGACAGGGCAGATACGGTAGCACCCAATTAAAATCTTAAAATTACATGCCCTCCAGTTGAAAATCTCTGCATCTATTGAGATATTTTGACCAAAAAAAGATTAAATGAGGATTAACACCGAGTTAAGAAATATCCTGGAGAAATCACTGATACGAGTATATGTGAAATGTTAAGAGTCGCGAAGAACTCTAACCTTGAGAGACCTCTACTCCAGTTTAGTACATCTAAAAATATATATGTTAAACTTGGGTTGTGACCTTGGCAGGCCTCAACCTGAGTTTGATACATGTAACATACATTTATATGTATGTGAGTTGTGAGACTGTGAGAGTTTTTCTATTCTCCATGTTAGCTTAACTTTAGAGTTCTTTTTCGCCCATTCTCAATTTTAGACAACTCAGCCTCAAGGCATTCCAATAAGAGATTTATACAAGGCATATCCCACCCGTATAGCTCAGCGGTAAGCACATGTACCAATTACACATTCTATCCCCGGTTCAGGCACTTTGCTTGTTGGGTAAAGTACTTCAGAGTGTTTGACTGAGTGGTCCACGACTCGTAAAAAAGGCTGTGGTGTGTATTTGTATGCCTATGTATGAATGCACATAAAAAACACCAGGCTCCTTCAAGGAGGGGTTTCTGGATCTGCCTTCCATGATAATGCGTTAAGTATGACCGTATATATACATTGGATATACCCAAGAGGTATTGCTCACCTTCATTGGTGGTAAACAAAATACAATACAATATGTCAAAAAGCAGTATGGACATTAAACAAAATATAAAAACAACTCACACGCTGTCACCATGTAATAGTCATCAAACTCGACTGTTATTACTCTGCCTTCTTTATCATGTTTTTCTATACCTGCAAATAAATAAAAATTCATTTTCAATGGTACTTTCAGAAATTTTGATAATTAAGGCAAAACAAATCATAAAATAACACACATAGAAATCGCCACCATTTTTCAAAAGAGCCATAAGAAATTGACAGCTGATGTCAAAAATGCTATAAAATGTCCCATCGCACTGGCGGATCCAGAAGCTAACTTTAAGGAGGGACCCGCATTTCAAATCAGGAAAAAATATTCCACTATTGCAGTGAAAATTTTTGGGGATCCTTAATTCCAAAATTGGGCCCAAATTTGTGTTTAATCCATATTTTTGATGATTTGCCCTAAAAAGGCCCAAAAAGGCCAAGTAATGACCTAAAAAGCCCCATTAGTTGAGGCCCTACAAAATACTTCGGCCAAAATATATTTTGGGCATTGATATGATGCACATCCTTTCAATTAAATATTTTCTTTACAATTTAGACCTACCTAGTCCATATGTGATATTCAGTGGTTCTTTCTTTGTATAGAGGCCTGTCCCTGAATACCCTTCCTTATCTCCAGATAGCCAGTAACAGTGATATCCTGAAAACATTAATTATGCACTAGCGTTATCCTGAAATGGCTTAATAGATACAAACAATGGTGGTATATTTTTATTATACATGTAGGTTTGGTACTTTTCCAAAAGGGATCTTAAAAGTGTTCTTCAGAAGGTTATAGGCCACTTTAACACCTAAAATGGTTAAGTGCTACAATTTTGTCCCTTGTTGATTTTCCCTTTATTGAAAAAATGCTTCTTTGTAAGACAGTATGTCTCTTTATTTAGAGAACAGTTGCTTTCTTTATAAGACTGTCCCTTTATGGAAAATTCACAGCTATATTTGTCCTATTCTCCCTTTATTACACTGAAAAGATTTATTTCTACACTTCAGAGAACATGAATACAAAGATCGTAAACAACTGATTAAGACATGAATCAAATAAATGTGTACTGAATACAGCATAGGGATATCAAAATAATTCTGGTGGGTGGAGTATGTTTATGTATATAATTATTTATAACACTGTCATTGACACTCAATGTTGTTGACGATTTCATCTCTTTATCACTGTTTACATTTCACTGTTTACAAATCATATCTATCACTTTCAAGGATTTTTTTTAATAAAACAGTAAGTCCAATGATTTCATGTTACTTCAAAGGCATAATTTGGAATTTAAAGTGGTAATAAACAAATATTCCCCTTCAAATACATGTATATTATGTATATTAGAGGCAGGACTTTTCCCAGCTTAACATCAACTGATAACAGTGGGGACATATGTTTGCCGACCAGTGATTCAGTTGAATTCATCCTGGCATTCTGACCTTCCTATTTTCAAGGTGTGCATGGGACCTTTAAGGAAAATCTTTGGAAGAATGCTGGATAGCTTGCATTAACGATTGATATGAGAACACATTTTGGTGATTTACTTATCATAACTGGTGAAATAAATCAAGATAAACATTCCAAATAAAATGTTTCCATTAACATTCAGTGAAATGGATGGCTTAACCCTACCTTCGACTTCAATTTCTTTGGGGATCTTTTCCTTAACACATTTGGTTTCTTGCACACAGAACACATCTGGGTCCTCATGTTTGATGTAAGAGTGGCAGTTTTTCTAGAAAATCAAAATGTATTCAAATGTGACCTTGTGTTGTAATGTACATGTCTACTTATGATCATTGATAATTTGCAAAGTGGGTACTCATGTGCATGAAGGCAATTGAGGTATGGTTGAGCCACAATTAGAGAGCACAAGAGGAACGATATACATGTAGCACATTAGTGACGATTCAGATGACATTATTTTACTAGAATTCATTTATACATCATAAATGAGTATATAATTCACAATAAAGCAAATAAATATAATGATTAAAAATTCTTATTATGGAAAGAATTTCAATACAATCTGAATGAGTATTATGGCTGGGTGATTTGATGTGCTCACTTTATGTATGGTGTCCTAAAATCGCAGCTTACTAATTTCACCCTAGCTCCCATATATTATCCTTGTAAGCGAGGGGTCGTCGGTTCGATCCCGACTGGGGTGGACTGACTTTTTCACATCAGCCCTTAGCACTGGATTTAATTCTGTGTTTTCATTAACTACCATAACTTCAAAAGAATACATACCTCACTCCACGCCCGTATTCCATTGACATTCCATGTTGCAATCTTCAGATTCCATGGTTTATCTTCTTTACTTTTTGATGAATTTGCAAAGTCTAACTGTGTCACGTCAGCAATATGATCTCTAACCCAGTTATTTTTCTTCTTTGGAGCATCACCCTCAGCACCATCTGACTGAAATGTTCAATGCAAAAGAAATTATGTTAAAAACTGAATAAATAGAGAGGCATAAGTCTTGCAACATATAGCATGTCTAACCCTTTATTTTTGTGTATATCCTGCTTGACGAGGAGCATAATCCTTCAGGGATGGTGAAACACACTTGATAGCAATTTGCTAACTGCATTACAGCAGTAGAGCGGGCATTGATCTGATTCCCACACAGTGCACATACAGGTTATCCAGTGCCAGGACTTCAGTCCTGCGAACGTCTTATTCTTTTGCCTGTACGATTACAACATGGGAGAATTTTCTACGCTTCTTACACTTAGATACCTACTTCAATAGATTCCTTGGTATTTTAGCATTCTTTTCGTGTAGTTGAATCCACAATTGTCTGGGTTTATCGGCAGAACAAAGAAATTTTCGTTTTTGATCGCAATATTTGCGTGTAATATTTAACTTATTTAAACCGTCAAATTCTTCCATTTATTGGTTATCCGGGCCACTTCCGGGTCAGTCAAACGGGGATTCCCCTTTTAAATCCAACCGCCATCTTGGAAAGTGATGGAATATCTCTCAATGAAAAAGAAAAATGTTCCCATTCTGCCGATATACCCAAACAATTGTGGATTCAACTACACGAAAAGAATGCTAAAATACCCAGGAATCTATTGAAGTAGGTATCTTAAATGTAAGGGGCATAGATAATTCTCCCAAGTTGTAATCGTACAGGCAAAAGAATGCGCTTGTTACAGGACTATACATGTAGTCCTGGCACGGGATAACATACAGGTGCTCTAGGCTAGGATTAGTATGTATCGAACAGACCAAGTATAATATTCGTTCTGAATTTATTCAGACGAAGGATACAGTCTAAGGCTACATGTATAGCATGCACCTTTCAGAATGTCTGTATCAACAATATTAGACCTAAAACGTGTGGGCCTCGTTTCTTATCTGACATGTACGTCTAATGGAACGGCCTCAAGAAAATTCCTAATAGTAAAGAACGCCGTTATTGAGCTTAACAAAGTTGAACTATATCTGACTTTACAGAGCCCCACTTTACAGCTTCCCCAAGGTAGCCGGGGAGCTACCTCAGGTCATTACACTTCAAACAAGTATAAATTAAAGGCTACACATTTTTATCCTAACCACAACCATACCAACATATCATATATTTTGCATGCGTACTAGTGTCAATGTACATGCAATGTAGGCCTAATATTGACGTCTAAGATTGACCGGCGAGAGTCGGAAAGAAAAAGCAGCATTGGACTTTATGATTTCTCAATGTAAAACTAACCTTTCTTTTAGGAGGCATTTTTGTCACAGTACGTTCCTGTACTTGTTTGGTTCTGAAATGTACGTTAACCTTCTCAAATATATGTTGAATTTGCGTTGTTTTTGTAATCCTGCGAACAATAACAAGCGAAAGCATGAACCGGAAATGTGTTCCGGCAATGTCACACCACAGTTATATTATCTATGGCGGGCACTATCTGTCAAAGGTATGAAATCAGATCGAATGGTCGATTATAATCCGAAAACTGCTCAAAATTATATGGCACTAGACATGCTGCAGATAAACACGAAATGTTCAACTACAATTTCTCTACAAGACGAGCTTCCGAATACTTTCTAGGAGAAAACAAAAGAAAAACTGTGGTGTGAAAATGGTAGATTGTGCACTTTCCCGGGGTGTTCGATTATCAAGGGTAAGCGTAAATTTTGATGGAATCAGTGTGATTTTATCTTCGAAGTTTTGTAGAATTGTACATGTATGTATTTTCTACTTGTAGACAGCACCTAGTTATCTTGCAGCAAATGCAACAAGCCACACTTGGCCGTTTTCAGCAATCGCAGAATTGATTGGTAAGTTTTTTCACTTTCACTCACACCAAGGACGTCAACCTCGTTGACGTCCTTGCTCACACAGAGGGGTCATTCATCAAGCTATCGCAATCACTGCGACGTCGCAGACACTGCGACCACCGTGCGATGTCGCAGTGACTGCGACTGCGACCTATTCATTAACAAATCGCAGTCTGCGATGTCTACGTGCACGTGCTTGTACACGTGTTTGTTATCCTTTCGAGATCCTCTTGTATCATTTCGTAAAGTTTTATAATGGTTAACCTAGGCATGCGATATCGCAAAATATTTAGGTCCACATCAGCGTATATTTGAAGAAGATCTGTACGATCTCTAAATACGCGTTCTCTAGGCAGAGTGTTGCGGTTGAAATCAACCATCAGTTGCGCCATTTTGAACGAATAAACGCTGCTAATAGACGATTAAACACGTCATGCAAGGTTGACAATATGATATTGATGGATACTGAGTGGGTACAGCCACGTGGGTTCAAACCACGTGTAACGCACAATCACTGCGACTGGTCGCACGGTGAAGTACTTAAAAATACAAGCCGAAAACTAGCTGTTTTTGATAGCATCACAAACATGTTAAACATAATGCATATATGTGTATCTCATACTTGAGTGGGTTTGCGGTAGATATCACCCGGGAATATATATCGTATCTGAGGAGTGGGCAGGATATATTGTATATGTCCCGCTCCAGGCCAAATGCGGGCAGATATAATATATCCATCCCGCTCCCGGGAATTTTTCAAAAGTTTAAAAAAGTTTAATTATCAAAAGTTTTAATTTTTTAATTTTATAATTTAATTTTTTTAAGTTTAAATGTTACAATTTCATTGTATTGAACAAAAAGAATATTACGCAAATGTTAAATATAAATATCTTGTCATTTGAAAAAGGTGGAAAAGGTTATATCTACCCTAAAGCCACTCAAGTATGAGATACACCAGTTATGCACGGTCAGTTTGGATACATGGAATATCCCTTGGGATATACAATACATCTTCCCTCGGTATATATTGATATATTGTATATCTCTCGGGATATTCCCTGTATCCAAAACCTCCCAGTGCATAACCCCTATATATGTATATACGCTTAAATTTGGGCCATTTTAGGGGTATTTCACTGCGACGCAGCAGGAAATTCTACCGATCGCAGTCGCACGAGATTGATGAGTCGTAATCGCTAAAAAGGGCCCTTGCGACATCGCAGGCTTGCGACGTGTTGCGATAGCTTGATGAATGACCCCTCAGGCTGGTATCAAAAAATTTGTCTGCTGTGACGGAGCGAGCTATTTTCCATAGAACCACTAAGAAACCCACGCAATTTATTTTTTTATCACACCATAGGTGGGATATACATGTAGTCGTCATACTGGTCGTGGTCGTGGTCGTGATCGTCCCGCTTTTTGTCATCGCCATTTAAGGAAAACTGCTCATCAGATTTTCTCCAAATTCGCAGAGATGATAGAGCATATGAAGTACTAGAACTGAATAACTTTTGGGTGGCCATCTTGTTTTCTGTCTGCCATTTTGAAGGTTTTTCGAAAAATCTTGTCATCGCCATTTCAGGAAAACCGCTCATTGGATTTCCTTCAAATTGACACAAATGATATAGAGGATATCAAGTACTAGAGCTGATTAAATTTTGGGCAGCCATCTTGTTTTCTGGCAGCCATTTTGAAGATTTTTCGAAAAATCTTGTCATCGCTATTTCAAAAAATCCGCTCATCGGATTTCCTTCAAATTTACACACATGATAGAGGATATCAAGTACTAGAGCTGATTAACTTTTGGGCGGCCATCTTGTTTTGTGGTGGCCGTTTTGAAGGTTTTTCGAAAAATCTTGTCATCGCCATTTCAGGAAAACCGCTCATCGGATTTCCTTCAAATTTACACAAATGATAGAGGATATCAAGTACTAGAGCTGATTAACTTTTGGGCGGCCATCTTGTTTTCTTGTTCTTGAAATTTGTAAACACAATAGGAGAACAGTTTTCCTGGTTCATAGTGTCTGCCTATTTGATGGTGTGATCTCGTTCACGTCCTGTACCTTGTTACTCCTATGTTTCGCTATACCATAGAAAATAACTTACTCCATGCAATGGATATATAATTTTCGGGTAATTTTAACATCTGTTTGAAGTCCAACAACGCTAAGAGTAAAAGCTATTGAAAACGGCGCCTTAGTATCATACTCCAAAATGTACCATTTCTTTTATTTCTTTTTAATGGTACGATATACATGTAGTGACACGATAATAGTCACATATGTTTTCAGCATAACTCTGAAGGTATTAATGAGATCTTGATGTATTGGGTATTTTTAATATTTTGTATAAAAAATAATGTTTAATTGTTTTGTCCGCTGTGACGGAGCGGCTTTAACTGTGAACTAATTTAAGAATTTAAAATTCAAATAATATCTTTTAAAAGTACCCTTAGAGGAGAGAACGTCTCAAATCACTTTCCTAAATTATGACAAGTCGTCTTGGAGATCTTTGGTAATGTAAATCTGAGATATAAAAACGACCACTCTTTTCACATTTTTTGGAGAATTGTACTGAAATCAACATAAATCAACATGGTGTAAACTCAACATAATATTTCTAATACGTTTTCGCCAAGACGTCGTGGAATGTCACATGTAGTGTAAATAGGGCTAATATGAATTTATTCGAGCACAGACATCCTGCATTCCGACAGTTGTATAACCTTTTACCACATAATATTATATTACTGTATATAAGATGATCCCAATACAGATTTAATTTGTAATTATTTGAAATTCATGCCTCATTGTTTTGCATAGTCTAAAAATATAAAAAAGTCTTAGTAAACGTGCTGCACGGTAAAACCTGTATCAATGATCATCTTTCTCTAGTGAACACCTCTTCTTATCTCATATTCCTCTGACTTCTGTATGAAATTGCCTCTATAGAGGGATTGCAGTACGAACTGATAGAAAAGCTTAAAAAGTGGTCGTACAATTTGAATTGTGTACTATTATTATGTTTCATTTTTCATTTTTTTTCAGAATACTTTACGAAAGAGATATGACACGTTCGTTCCTCCACAGTGTAAAAGATATATTATGAATCTTGAATTCTTAACGTATGTCAGATTTGAAACTGCTCCGTCACAGCCGACAAAAAAATTAAACATTTTTTTTTATAAAACAAATTAAAATACCCAACACATCAATATCTCATTTATTTAATACCTTCAGAGTTGTGCTGAAAACATGTGTAGATATTATCGTGTCACTATATTGTACCATTTAAAAGAAATAAAAGAAATGGTACATTTTGGAGTATGAAACTCCGGCGCCGATTTCAATAGCTTTTACTCTAACCGTTGTTGGACTTCAAACAGAAGTTAGGGTTACCCGCAAATGATATATCCATTGTATGGAGTAGGTAATTATCTTTGATATATATTTGAAACATATGAGCAAGAAATAAATTGCGTGGATTTCCTTGTGTTTCTATGCAAAATAACACGCTCCGTCACAGCGGACAAATTTTTCGATACCAGCCTGTGACTCAGTCACTGACCAGTTTTCGATTCCAAAACAAAACTTTTATCATAGGTTTCAAGCCATACGTATATCTAAAAGGAAAACACACCATTGGTCCGAACCCCAATGGTTTGAACCTCATTTGTCCAAATCCCAATCGTCAGAATCCTAATTGTCTGAATCTCAAAGGTTCAAACACGGACGTCTAATACGTTCTCCGAACAATAACGAAGAGAATCCCAATCTCCTTTCGCCAGAACATTCTCTAAGACTGTGGGTTCAAAATCATCCGAATCCCAGTCATCCGAATCCCATTCGTCTGATTACCAATTGTCTGAATCCAGGGGCGTAGCGCTATATTTCGAGTTGGTACTCCCATTCAGGAAAGTCAATGATTAGTGTACAGGTGGGGTTGAGACACAGAAACTATGAATTTTTATGCTGTTTGTTCTTTGAGTACCTGAGGCCTTATTCACATTGCGTCGCAATCACAAATGCAAAAATGATATTAATCGCTAAAATTCTTATACACAATCAAAGTGCAATTGCTTTGAGGGAATTTAAGCTTGCAATGATTTTCACACATTAAACATGAACGGAAAATATTTAGGCGATGCATTTGTATAGCAAGCGGTCCTAACTTCGACTGTTAATTTGAATTTTTGACCTACCGGATGTTTGAAAATCAAGGATTACGAGTCTCATACTGTACCGTTTTTCTTCAAACTTGTTCCATTCAAAGCATAATAAAAATCCCTTTCTGATGGTTTACATTATTCTCTTAAACAGAGTCCCTACTTCCAGTGGCATTTTGGTCCCCAGCTGTAAGAAGGCCTTCTAACAGCTGGGGACCAAAACGCTGCTAGAACGAGGGACTCTTTACAATAAAGTAATGCACCGACAGAAAGGCAATTTTGTTTTGCTTTTAATGGTATAAGTTTGAAGAAAAACAGTGCAGTATGAAACTCGCAATCCTTGAGTTTCAAGCATCTGGTAGGTAAAAAATTTAAATTAACGGTCGTAGTTAGGACCGCTTGTATAGACGATTGGTCATACGTATAGGTTTTCGATTTTATATGCAAGCTTTAAGTCCTTATTATCTCAGAACAACGTTTTTCGGTATACTTATCAGCGTTATCAACGCTTTTCGGTATACTTATCAGCATTATCAACGTTTTTTCGGTATACTTAAAAAACTGCCTTCAATGAATCGCAATGTTATGATTCCTGCGACAATCAGTCATCTGGGACACTGTAAAACAAAATTGCAATGGTAGCGGTGAACCATAGAAATCAAAGAATATTTCCTGATATAACCCAGGGTGGATCCAGGTAGTGTTAGATCCGCTAGTGTAACACCACCGTTGGATATGTTTGACGATCATGACAGTCTACCTCGGAAAGAAATTAGTCAAACCCGGATAACAGATGCGATGCTTTGTGAGGCCTCTAAATAGCAAGATATCTTGCATTATTATATCACTATCTAGCTAGCGGCAGTATGATTGGTCAAAACCGGGTCACATGTCGTGGGATATCTGGCGATATTCAATGGCAATGCTAATCAGATAAGACAACCGTGAGATATCTAGCGATATCCCACGCTCCCGGGAATTTTCAAAGAATTTGTTTTCGTTCAGTGTAAATAATTTAGTTCAGTTTAAGTCAAAATGGCAGACGAACCGAGTAGATTCGTATGTATTTCAATGTTAACCGATGACTTAATAATATTAGGGATGTTTAGCTAGACAGTGATATAATAAAACAAATATTTCACTCTATTTTCTGTGAATACCTGTAGCACTTTCACAAGGTGATATTCCACTTGCCCTTCGGGCTTCGTGGAATATCACTTGTGAAAGATGTACAGGTATTCACCTCAATAGAGTGAAATATTTGTTCAATATCTGGCATAACTATAGAAAATGTGTAATGCATATCAGCTTATTGTGCATTTTGTATACAGGGTGTCTGTAAAGCATTTTATACATTTCCACTGAATTTGTAAATGTAATAATAAATAGACTTTGTGGACACCTTAATACAAATCAATAACCTGATCATAGTACTGTCTGACATTGCTTCAAGGGTAGTCCTACTATGTAATGCTCAAGTTAGTATGTAGAGAAACAGTTATTCCTAGACATCTTTTAAACATTGAAATGCGTTGCAAACTTTGATATATTAGGCTATATGTATAGACATGCAAAAAAAAACTTCCAGATTTTATCAAACATTTTTGCTTCAATGGGCGTTCTATTCAAACGGAATAAATAAGGTAAATTGGTGTTTCATTACCCGCTATGCATTCATTCGCTTCTCAAAAGAGAGCTTCGTCATTTATAATTAGACTGCGTGCAGGGTAGCGTTTCATTTTCAAACTCATATATAATGTTTGTTTGAATATTAGAGCTACAATCCTAAATAAATCCAGACGTTGACTTAACGTGACAGCAAAGAATACAAAGTGTAAATGCTAAACTTAAAGAGAGAATCAGATATAACGAGCAGGCTAAACAAAAAATTGTCACAACTTTAGAATATTTTTGGCTCATGTCATTCCTTGTCATGTCTATTTTCTAAAAATCACAAAAGTGCATACTTTATTCAAGGAAAACTTAAGATTTTTACAATAATGTATTATCTTTCTATAAGAATGGTAACCATTCTTATTATTTTGGAGAATTTCAGCCATTTTTGCACTTTGAATCATGAATAACTTTACCAATTTATAAGATACTGTGAATATTTTATATTGAATTTGAGATTGTAAGGAATATATTGGTAGGTCAATTATACAAGTTGCTTGTAATTTTATCACCCCCTATATATCTGATTCTGCCTTTAATATTTCCAGTAAACATGGTTAAACAGGGAATCAATTTTATTCAATACACACAACATGAAGTTTAATTAATGTAGAATTAGCCTTTTCCCCCAGCAGAATTCACTAATTTCACTTGCAGAATTTAGCATTTTATCTTGCAGAAAACTGGGTAGAATTAATAGACCAGTTGACGTATTGCCAGGCTTGCCTAATCCGGTGTGTTTTTTTAATTTTATTTTCACCATCGTCATATTAATTGAATATCAAGATAAATAAAAGGTAATACCAATTCGGGCAAGGCTAATACAATTCAATTATTCACATGTACTGTCTAACACATTTGACTCTTTCAGATAATGCGTATGATCCAGATGTTAAAGCAGGTAGACTGTATATAGACACTAGGAAATTTGGCACTGTTGACAGTGTTGTTTTGGTTGATGATGGAGCAGGGATGTCTGCAGATAAGCTGCACAGGATGCTCAGGTGAGTAAAGAACATTTACCAGTTGTTTCACAAGAATTTCTCACAACAGCCTGTTGCCTGCTGCTAATGAAACCCCTGATTTACTGTCCACTTTCTCTTTCATAGAAAATAATTTTGCTTCAAAAAGTGACACTGTGACAGTTGCACCATAATTTGACTTATTACCATAGTGCATCTTCATCATATACTATGTTTATCAAGGGGGCATGGGGGTTGATGTAAAGTTATCTACATTCCATATTTCAATATTAAGTATACTTCTGACCTGTTCATCTTATTGGGTACAAATTGCCTTCATAATATAGTCAATAGCCCCCAGTTTGTCCTCTTTCGAGCTTCGTCTTTACAGTACTCTTTCAGTTTTCAATAAATCTCTGAACTCACCGAGCTAATCAGAGTTTGTCATCGGAATAAGGAAGACTTGCTATATATGGCCATTTTCTCTGACGTAATCGCATAATTATTGTGTACGCTTTTAGCATGTGTTCCTTCCAGCTTGCTGATTGGTTGAGAAAAAGGTCAGTGTGATAGGTTTGAATTGATTTATGAACCGACCACATTGGTATCGGTCATGGGGGTGAGGCTGCTAAACTGTAATATAGTCTATACTAGGCAGAGGGTAGTTTATAACTAGACTGTGCAGAGGGTAACTAGCCCTTAAAATGTTCATTAATTCTGTGTTTTTCAGCTTTGGGTTTTCAGACAAAACTTCAATCAATGGACATGCCCCAATTGGTCGATATGGTAACGGGTTCAAATCAGGCTCCATGCGTCTTGGAAAAGATGTTATTGTCTTTACGAAGCAGGCTTCAACTAAGAGCGTTGGATTTTTATCACAGACATATTTAAAGATATCGAAAGCAGAAACAGTGCTTGTTCCTATCCTTACATGGAACACCGCAACTGGTATCCTTTACATTTAGATTTAGCTATATTTTAAACCATGAATGTATAGCTTTTCATTCGCAGTTTCATTCGCCATGCAATGTTACCTTATTTTCAGGGATGTTTCTTTGTATGAAAATTTAGAACCAGTGAGCTTTTAGGCACTCTCAGTAAATAAATTGACGGCCATTTCTAAATTTTTGTCCTATGTTTTGTCTGTAAAAGTCTTGTCTACATGTTTCAAGTCAAACTGTTTGTGTTTGATTTGAACATAAATTGGCATGAAACTCTCTTAACTGATTACTTTTTGGCATTCTGGTAAATGTTAAGGCAGCCATTTTGGATCTTTAGTCCTGGATCATCTTGTGTACACATTTCATGCTTTTTGGTATGAAAGTTAAGAACTGCTTAGTTTTTATTTTCATTCTGGTTCAATTGTAAATGCAGCCTTTTTTATCGCACATATTGTAAAAACGTGTCTCTTGAGGGTTGTTTACAGGTTTCATGGATTCATCCTAAAATTTTAGAGGTGTTTCTATGGAAAGTTTAGAACTGATTAGTTTTTAGGCAGTCTGGGTAAATGTTAAGGTGGCCGTTTTGAATTTTCCATTCCCAAAAGTGTATTCTGTTCAAGGGTGCGATTCTGTTCACCCTCTGGCTTGTTAGACTTTACGTCCCAAAACTGTCTATTCTATTCAAGGATGCGATACTGTATGAATTTAATGTTTGTATTGTATAAAAAACTAATTTGTTTCTTTCGTGAGATAAACATTACTTGAAATTAAAGTATAAGGAGAATGGCCCAGAGGTGTCGCAACTTAAGTACCCAAAAGCAGTTACAAGCCATCGGTTTCAATTTTTCAATTTTATTCCAATACCCCATAGAACTCATCCCATGCATATACATTTATTTAGTTCCCATTTTACATTTTCCCGCCCAATGTGAAGAAATTTGCTATTCTTTTTTGGACTAAAGATAGAAATAATCCCACTAATCCCACTCTCCATAGCCTTGTCCCCTTTTGGTAGCTGCGCTCCTAGCCTACAATAAACTCTCTGATAATAGATACATACAATTGTGTATTATACAAATAGTGACTGCCATTGAAGCCTCAGGCTGAGGGAATAGTACATTATAGAGGATATTCCCAAGGGGATATCATTTACACTATTGCTCGAAATTAGGCAGTCACTATTTGTATAATACGCATGTCTCAAATGTCTGTCATGGTGAACGTAGTTGATTTGTGTTTATGCTCATCCTCCATTTTTCTGTTTTTCATCTGTGTGCAGTGATGATGCGCAGATATTTCCAAGGGTAATATAAGTTGCAATCGTGACATCAGCGGGCAATAGTTCAAATGTATATTCCCGCTGATGTCACATTTGAGGGAATATAACTTTCGAAGGGAAATAGTAAATCTATTTCGGAACACGTGACTTGGTATTGACCAATCAGGATTAGTGTTACATATTTGGTATATAATAATTCAATATATTTCCTTAACTAATCTTTAAGATGTGCTGATCGACTGTGAAGATACAGAGGGCAGTCTACGGGACATTAAGAAATACTCATTATTTGGAACAACCGAGGCTCTACTTGAAGAATTCAAAGAAATAAAGTCCAAACATGGAACAAAGATCGTAATTTATAACCTCAAAAAGTAAGTTGTTCACAAACAGTTTGGCATTGCCCTGTGTAGGTTAGAGTTTGTATCTGAGAATAATCATTTCATGGTTTTCACTAGGCTTTTAGACTCTGGAGAGAATCTTTAGACCCTCTTGCTCCAGAGTCTAATAGCTTTTCCAGGCTCTAAAGTGTTTTTCGACATTTAACTCATGAGAAAATACATAAAACTGGATACAAACAAGGAAACCTTTTAGAAATGTATATTACGATTAAAATAGGAAGATAATCTTAAGTATATTATTTTTTCTCTGTAGTGATAATCAGTATGCGAATTGGACAGGCATATACCATGTGACTAAAAATACCACAAGGTATTCCATCCATGTATAAGTCATCGATATGAAAGGTGTCTTTTTTTAGAAAAAAATGATTGTGAAAAAAAAGTGATTTTGTAGAAAATATTGTGTTGTGTATGTGTGAAAATAATTCTCAATGCATTGTGAAATGATCATTCCTTTCAGGCATTGTTTTCTAAAATTAACACTCTATGCTCCACATCTCGTGCAAATTTTGGAAAGCAACATCTTCAAGGAATGGTCATTCCACATAGCACCGAGCCTGGGCTTAAATCCTGAAATCAGTGCTTGTCAGTGAACGAATAATGTGCATATGGTGTTAACAATTGTACCAGGTTGATCAATAAGTTCTACGAAAAATTTCTCAAGTGAAAAATTTTGTGTGTTTTTTTTAATAAAGGGTACGAATGAACTTTTTTCTCAAACCTTGTTGAGTAAAAGTCCAAATGGGATTAAGGGACTTTTTCTCAGAGCTTATTGAATGACCTGGTACTTTGTATTACGCATGTATTCAACAGAGGAGAGGACAACAGAACGGAGCTAGATCTCCAAAGTGTGGAAGATGATATCATCAATCCCGAGAGTCAGATGATGGATATGACAGAAGACTACCGTCCAGAAGTAGAACACAAACCTCTATATAGGAAATCTCTTAAGGTAGGTGCTGTGTCACCTTAATCTTGAAGTAGAACATAAACCTCTATATAGGAAATCTCTTAAGGTAGGTGCTGTGTCACCTTAATCTTGAAGTAGAACACAAACCTCTATATAGGAAATCTCTTAAGGTAGGTGCTGTGTCACCCTAATCTTGAAGTAGAACATAAACCTCTATATAGGAAATCTCTTAAGGTAGGTGCTGTGTCACCCTAATCTTGAAATAGAACATAAACCTCTATATAGGAAATCTCTTAAGGTAGGTGATGTGTCACCTTAATTTTGAAGTAGAACATAAACCTCTATATAGGAAATTTCTTAAGGTAGGTGCTGTGTCACCTTAATCTTGAAGTAGAACATAAACCTCCAATAGGAAATGTCTTAAGGTAGGTGCTGTGTCACCCTAATCTTGAAGTAGAACATAAACCTCTATATAGGAAATCTCTCAAGGTAGGTGCTGTTTCACCTTAATCTTTTTTTTTTTTTTTTTTTTTTTTAATTTTTAAAATTTATTTAAAAACATATTGACTTCTGTAATATATTCTTACAAAGTATATTTTACACATTCACTCCATTTCACACACATCCTTCTTCATTCATTCCATATCTTATTATCATTTTCTTTACAGTATTTTAAATACATTTCGAATTTTTTGTACACTGGTAGTTCTTGTAGCATTTTTTGATTATACAAGAAGTATTTTGCAATAATTATAATCATATTTTCATATTTGCTCCATTTTTTGGAGCCAAAGAGCACATTATTTAAATCAAAATATTTGAGTTTTTTCAAAATGTGTTGCTTAACACTGTTCCAAAACTGATTTGTATATTCACAAAGATAAAACAAGTGATCAATCGTTTCAAATGCAGTATGACAGAATTCGCACATCGGCGATTGTATTACATTATATCTAAATAGATCATTATTTGTATATAAAATGCAATTTATAAGTTTAAATTGAAAAGCCCTGTGTTTAGAATACGTTAAAATGTAATGATAATATGTATAGTAAAAATTCCAGTCTTCTTCGTTTAATTCATATTTTATACTAAGCTTTCCTTTCGCTGTTGGTTGTTCAACAATGTGTGACAATAAAATAGAATAAAATAATTTTGATGTACATTTGTTAAACTGATATATATTTTTTCCATGTACAATATCAAAATTACAGTGTTTTACATCTAAATCGACATTATTTTCAAATACATTATTCCTTATAAGCCAAGTTCTTGGGATGGCTTTTAAAATTCCAAACCATTTCAGCATGTATACATCAGATAGACCTGTTTGTACCTTAATCTGGTGCCATGTTTTAATTGATCCATCTATAAATAAATCTTTAATTTTTATTATGCCTCTATTGAAAAATTCTATCCAGAAGACTGATTTATTTTGTATCGTGATTTTTTTGTTATTCCATATTATTTCCTCTGGTATATCAGTTTGTGAACGAGGCAATTCAATAAATGTTTGAAGCATGTGTATATAATACTTTGGCATATCAATATTCAATTTAGTTATATCATACTTGCAATTCAATACAAATAAGCCCCCTTTTTGACGAAGGTAATAATTTGGAATGACAGTCCATGGAGAATTCTTGTTTGTATCTTTAATTAATTTCTGAACCCACTTTAGTTGGGCACTTTTAATTTTTGTTTTTAAATCACTCATTCTTAAGCCCCCTTCTTTGAAGTCGGAAATTAATGATTTCCTCTTAATTTTATCCCTGCCATTCCATAAAAATTTAAACACAATATCATTGATTTCTTTAAGGTATCTATCTGGTGTATCTATGACCGAACAAATAAAATTGAATTTTGATAACCCAAATGTTTTCACAATTTGTATTTTCCCTATTATTGTTAGTTGTCTAGTTTTCCACAGGTTAAGAGTTTGTTTTAAGTGATTTATCACGACTCTAAAATTTTGCTCATATTTCTTGGTTTCATCATGGTTAAAGAAAACACCCAAAACTTTTATTTCTCTAACCTGTTTAAGTGCACCAATTTCCCAAGTTTCATTTTTTGATTTGCCAATAGTGAAGATTTCAGTTTTTTCTAAATTAGTTTTCAACCCACTACAATTTTCAAAGTCTTTTAGCACTCTCATAGCTTGGTGTACAGATTCTTTATCTCTTACAAAAAGTGTCATGTCATCTGCGTAAATACTAAGTTTTATCTCCTTATCTTCCCCAATTTTGATCCCTTTGATTGAATGATCATCTCTAAGTGCTTGTGCCAGAAACTCTACTGAGAGAATAAACAGTATGGGGGACAAAGGATCTCCTTGCTTAATACCCCTTTCAATATTAAATTGTTCTCCACTAAATCCTAAATTCATAACTTTGGCATGTATGTTAGTATAAAGTATTTTAATCCAAGATTTGATATAGTCACCAAAATTAAATGTTTCTAATGCTTGAAAGAGGAAATGCTGTGTCACCTTAATCTTGAAGTAGAACATAAACCTCTATATAGGAAATCTCTTAAGGTAGGTGCTGTTCCACTTAATCTTGAAGTAGAACATAAACCTCTATATAGGAAATCTCTTAAGGTAGGTGCTGTGTCACCCTAATCTTGAAGTAGAACAATGTTTGGAATAATTTTTTAAACCGTAAAATATTAAATGCATGACAAAAAAATGCATTAGGCCAAGGTTTTATTGTTATAAAGGAGTGGTAGTATTTAAATGCAATAATGAACCCTGTATCTTTCTCTATTGGTTCAAATCTCATTCTGATAATATACTCGGGCTCCATCCTCATGTATTATGTGTACGGGTTTGTACATGCACTCATTCTTTTAAATTTCCAATAAAATATGATACAGGATTCTTTTTTCCTGAGTAATTTATGTTACATGTACTTTTTCTATAGGAATACTGCTCCATACTATATTTGAAACCAATGATGAAAATCTACATAAAGAATCACAAGGTGAAAAACAAACTCATCTCTAAAAGTCTCTCACAAACTGAGAAAGATGTCTACAAACCCCAATTTTTAAAAGTAAGAAATATTTTTCTCACTTTTATTGTCTGGTGCTCATAATTGTCAATTAGGCTATTGCATGAAAATTAATGTGCTTTTGAAAATCAGAAATCAGAAAATCAAAAATATTGAAGTCTCTAGAAAGGGTTATGGTTCTTAATACATAATAATTTATTTCAAGTGAAAACAGATCCAGATCCAATTTGATGACCAGAAACAGGCCTGTAGCCAGGGGGTTTGAAGTTAAAGCAAATCCCTCCCTGGCAAAAATTCTTTCATAATTATTCAATTTGACATGATTCTGTGCAGTTTTCAATTTAATATGGGCTAGCTGTCAAATGCCCCCTTGACAGAAGCTGGCTACGAGTCTGATAAATTATCAAGGATGAATTTTCACCTTTCAAAGGTTTGCGCGAGACCCGCGAAACTACCAGCTCCATTTTTAACCCCATGTTAAAGGGCCGTTGTGCTCTGAGAACATTCTTGAAAAATGAAACACCCTACCCCACTGGGAGATCAAATTCCCCAATCCTGTGATGAAACTCTCTGTCAAATTTTCTACCCCTGGGGGCAGTATTATAACGTCAAATTTTGTATCCCAGGGGGCAGAATTATAATTTTATTTTTATTTATTTATTAATTTTTTGTCTCACAGCAGATTTATTTTACAGATACTAGTAGTACTAAAATGTCATAATAAAAACACTGCCCCAGCCAGTGCGGCTTATGAGAGACGTTTCATACATGTATATTAAAAGTATTGCACATATAATTATATCAAATGACTGTCGATCAATAATTTGTCACATAGGCTAAATCATTGCCCATATAGCATAAGATACAATGTAGTAGTTTCTAAAAAATAAATAAATACATTAATATTTACTAACTACATAATCTTTGTTTATCACATATTTGTTTGTCTGTGTTTGTACATAAGGAATACAATTTTAGATACAATAAAAGCCATCTCTGGAGAAGTACTCAGGGTTATAAACTGGTCATTTTTACTTATAATGTCAAATTCCCCACCCTCCCTGCATGGGGGGTCTCACACAAACTTTTGAATGGTGCATAAAGACCAAAAGAAAACTAGAAGCCATCTGTAAGACATACATGATTGATTGGTAATGTTTGCCATATGACACTTTTTTTGACACTTGATTGCAGCAAGGAATTGTTAGAGTGACGTTTGGTTTTGCCCCAAAGCAAGCAGGGCATATAACAGATTATGGTCTAATGATTTATCATAAAAACAGATTAATCCAAGCATATGAGAGGATTGGGATACAAACTAAGGTGAGTGGTTTACTGTAAAATGGTTACATTTGCTGTGACTTAAACCTACACATTCATTCACGAGGAAAGCTGTCCATCTATTGGTCCGTTCATTTGTTCATCCATCTGTTCGTCTGTCTGTCCCAGCAATATCTCAAATACCGGTTGACTGTTATGATCAAAGTTTTATAGGCTTATGCCTTATGGTTGTAGAACCTCTGTTCGAGAAGGAATTTACAATATGGCCTCTCAATTCAAAATGGTGGCCATATTTTGTAAAAATATAATCTTTGATAACTCAAATACTAGTCAACTGATTTGGTTCAAGCTGTTATCTAGGGACAAAGAAGCCTTCCTCAAGAAGAGATTTTCAAGATGGCCACTGAATTTTAAAATGGCCACCATTTTTTTGTAAAAACTCGTAATCTGATGCCTAGGGACAAATCCTTGAGAAGGAATTTTCAAAATGGCAGTAGGGGCCGCCATTTTTCGTAAAATAACATAATCTTTGATAACTGAGATACTAGTCAACCAAATAGGTTTAAATTTTTTATGCTGTTGCCTTAGGGCTGGACAAGGAGCCCTGCTCAAGAAGACATTTTCAAATGGTTGCTGAATTTTGAAATGGCGGCCATTTTTCTTAAAAAACGTAGTCTTTGATACTCAAATACCAGTTGATGGATTTCGTTCAAATTCTATATGCAGATGTCCAGGGAAGAAGGAGATATGCTGTAGAAGAAATTTCAAAGGTGTCAGCTGAATTTCAAAATTATCATTTGAGTCGATTAGCAAATTAAGTCAACATAATGAATGTGTTATTGTTGATCATGCAAAATCATAGAAAGTCACATTTTCTAGGAAAAATGGTAAATCTCGAACATATGACCAATTGACCATTGATACTCAAAGATCTGACAAGAAAATTTGAAGTCAGTTTTAGCTTTAGTATTTGAATGGTAAAATATGCCTATCCTTAAGTTTCTGTTAATGATAGTTTATGCCAATACATTAATGTTATTATATTTTTCTAGCCTTTTAAAAAAATTGCAAAATATTTTGGCACACCCTGTACATACAAAGGGGAGTGTCCAATCCCTTGTTAAATATTTTCGCAATAATTCTAGAGGCCCAGTACTAGATCAATCGACATATATTCACATAACATATTTTTGAGATATTGATGAACTTGTGTCATACCTTATCATTTGTCTTACATTGTAAATATGTACAAAAATGTTCTTAAATGTTCAAAAATGTTATTAATGTAAACCCTTTCACTGGACCCTCGTGAAGTATCTGTATTTCCATCAGGATATACCACATATCTAAAACCTCCCTATGTATTATACCCTCGTGTATTTATCAGCTCTTGACACTTTTGAAAAGTTCCATTTGCTAACTTTGTTAGTTTGTTTAGTTTAGGATTAATCTATTTATTCCTAGGCTTCTGATAGTCTCGGTGAAGGAGTTATAGGAGTGGTGACCTCAGTGGATTTCCTGGAAGCCAATCACATCAAGCAGGACTTTATACGCAATGACAAATACCAGTAAGCATAAATTATACATTACATTATTATATGTCATTCCAGGAAAACTGTTCTGTTTTCTTCTTTGTGCTTATAGACAGGTTCCAATTTCAGAATATCTCAAGGGAAAGGGTTTTTGAGGCATTTTTTAGAAAAAGCAACAGTCCTATTTCTTCTGGATCAGTTTTTCATGCTGATAAAGATATTAAAAGATGACAGCTCAACGGGGTGGTCACGACACTGAATTTTAGCGTTTTTACCCCCTAGGAAAATATTCTAGGGGGTACTATGAAACTAGTTCATAACTCAAAGGATATATAAACTTTTGTTCTGAGTTCTACAGCATACATTGTTAGTACAGAGATGAATACTACCCTAAAGTTATAGGTTGATATCTTTGTTGGTTTCGGAAAAATACAATTAATTAGAAAAAAATATGCAATTTTTGTCATTTTTTTCTTGCTTATTTTATATTTGTAGCTTCAAGCAAAATATGATAACTTAAACAGCTCAAAGTAGTATTCTAACAACATTCCCAAGCTATGTGTGATATTGTAATACATCTATTATAGTGATGAAGTACTATTTTGTAATTTTAATATGACTTTATAGTGCCCTACCCCTGGTAAATAGAAGAAAGTTGGTGTGGTTTTCTTCTGGTTTTATAACATTTTATTGTCTTCTTAGTTGAAGATACAATCAATTCTGTCAGTTAACCATGAGAAGCTTTACAATGGTTAACTATTCCCATGAATAGAGGGTTGGGACCTCAAAAATAGTGTTAAGTGGCATCCTTGGGCAACCCTCTTCAGAGCATTTTCCTTATACTCCGATAAAATCTGCAGGGGATACTATAAGAAACCTATATATCTAAGATACTAATGAAGATACTGAATTCAAATTTTCAGGATTTGGTCCTGGTGTTATAGCTGTAATCTGTATGACAAAAATGACAAAAAGAAAAAACTCTGTTGCCATAGTAACAAGAATACGACACTATTTGTTTCCTAAGAAATGTGTTTTAAGAGGTTTTGTCATTCTCTTCATATTTTTGATTCTAAATATGTCTACAATGTGGGATGATTAAAATTATGGTAAAGTAATATTTTCTATTGTTCTATTGTTCTCTAAAACAGAAGTTGCTAGGGCGACACATAGATCATAGATAAAAACCTGAGATGATCGCTCTATTTGTCAGGAAATTAAAATGGAAACTGAAAAATGAGTTTCTTCCTACTGAATAGCAATTTGGTAGACCATGGCTGACACGCACAAGAGAAAACGTCTATCAGTTCTATGTCATTTTGTTGTTATTTTTATTTATTTATCGTGCTCTGGGACCTCTAACACCTAATGCCGAATCTTTTCCAACTGCAAAGGAAGGCAAGATTTTAATAATGAACATTCATATATCTCAACAAATATGGCCTAAGATTTGGACAATGATGATGAAACTCTGAGGGAAAATTAGACGAAACATTAATGTGAGTGGTCCAAAAATAACACTTACATGTTTTGAAAAAGTTATGCTCTCGGGTGAATCAGTGCTCATTTAAGGATAGTCTGAATCAGGTGAATTTTTTAACCTAATTGTACCCCTCCCCAAAACCCCCAAATTTTGACAATTGTCGAAAAGTGGCAAACAACAATTAAACAAACATCATTAAAGTTCAATATGGCTATTTCGCTTCTATGTCATAAAGATGTGGTACGATCTCAGGTCAATCAATAAATTTCACAAGTGACATTCTATCTTATGAAGAAAATATTATCGTATTTGAAGACATGTCTAAAATTTGGTGGAAATAATTTTGTCACTCCTGATTTGACCTGGAAAGGTTCAGGTAAGTAATCACAAACAATTTCAGACAGTTATATCTTTGATTATGACTATTTTCTGACCATGAAGACATAGAGATTATCCTATATGAGGTTCAAGATATTGGGATTATCCCGAGGCCAATATAATATATTTGCCCAAAGGCAAATCCCATACCCAATCTTGGTCATCTGGTTCACATTGTTCAATCGTGGAAATATTTTAGAATATTCATGTCCAGTTTTGTTTTCTTGGCCGTGGGCGGATTTTCCTGTTCTCTCAAATATTCCAACATTTATTTTCTCGAATTTTTGATTGATTAATTGGATGCTCCTTCCCTTTTTTACCCTACTATCACACCAAACTAGTTCTCACTGCGTTCTCGAAAACGGGCTTAAACTGTGCAAGAACTGATTTGACGTACTAAGAACCCACTAAGAACCGTTTGGGATCTGTTTACAAACTTCGTGAAACTACTAGAACTAGTAGGTCCTCCAGCACTTAGAACATGCTCAAAATTTTCTGGTGATCATCAAAACGTTGCCGAATCGGTTTTAAACTGTGTGCGAACTGAATGAACATGGCTACAACGTTCTACGGTCTGTTTACGAACTTCATGGACTTTCCCGGACGGGGTATGTGATTTAGAATTTTGAATCGATTCAAAATTCGATGGCGACCATACCGTTCTGTAATCAGGTCATGATGACCTTCTAGACTAATGGACAGTTTATACTACGTTGCACACCGACGTGGTGCGACCTGAACGAACTGCGAATGAGATGGACGTATTGAAGACTGTTTATGAACGAGGTAGCTAATTATTTTAGACATATATCCCGACCGCAGCCAGATTGAGCCCGTTTTACGACATTTTCGTAGGACTGGCAAGAACGTGTAAGAACTAGTTTGGTGTGATAGGGGGGTTAAAACCATCAAACAGATCCCGATTGTCTGTGTTTTCTCCATTGTCGTCTACAGTCATTACGCAAATGTTACAAATTATGAACAAATATGCGAGCGGCGATTATGACGTAGCGGGCAGATATACTATATCTGCCCGCTTGGAGCGGGACGTAAAGCTATATCTGCCCGCTGATTAAAATATAAGTTTTTACAAACCGGCTTTATGTACCTGTAACACCTCCAAGTATGGGATAAAGGTATATATCCTCCTCATTCTGCCAAAAATGTTTTCTGACATTCTTAATCCTCCTAATTGTGCCAGTCTCGGGTACAAAGATTAGGCAATTAAGTTTTAAAGACTTGTTCCTACTGCTAATAATTCAATTGTTTTTAAATGACATTTTTAATCTTACTTATCAAGTTTGAAACAAACAGCAAGGGATATTAATTAGTGGTAGCATCATGTGTCCAGTTCTACAGGAGGTTAATCCAATTTTCTGAATGATAATCTTAGGAAGTCCTAATTTGCTGATTATCAAATTAATTATTGGTTGCATCACATGTTGACCTCCACAGGAGGTTAATCCATTAAAATCTAGTAAAGTCCTAATTTGCCAATTATCACAGTATTACCTGTTTTCATACCCAGATATCATTGAAGGAGATTAATTCTGTTTACATATATCAATATTGCAATCTATGGAAATTGACTGTTCCACTTAGCAGGTTAATTTTTCAATATGGGGTGTTCACTGTTCAAGTTTGGAGGTGTTCCACTTACAGAGGTTCAATTAACATTAAGTCAATGGGTTTTTAAAACGGGACGTTGAAAAGGCGTTCCACTTGGGAGGTGTTCCACTTACAGAGGTGTTCCACTTAGCAGGTTCTACTGTACATTACTTGTGCATGATGACCACCATAGTCTAGTTGCTTAAATGAAATCAATTGATGATTATAATGTTTAGACTTTATGTCAATGTCCAGACTGTATGCCAACCTCTCTAGTATGTGATTACACTAGATTTCATTATGATACATGTACTAAATTGAAAACTTACATATAAAATATCTTAAGTCCTATATTCTAGTAATAAATGAATTAGAATGTCACCTAACATTTGATGATGGTATGAATTTATTGATTTGGTGTCTATCAATACATGATTCTAACTTAATGCTGCAAAATGATAAAATTCACCACATCCACTTTCTTCAATTTTCCAGGGGTAGGGCACTATAAAGTCATATTAAAATTACAAAATAGTACTTCATAACTAAAATAGATGTATTACAATATCGCACATAGCTTGGAAATGTTTTTAGAATACTACTATGAGCTGTTAAAGCTGGCATATTGTGCTTGGAGCTACAAATATAAAATTGGCAAGACAAAAATTGCGTATCTTTTTCCTGTTTTTTTGTATTTTTCTGAGACCAATAAGGTATCAACCTATAACTTTAGGAGAGTATTCATATTTGTACTAGCAATGTATGGTGTACAACTCAGAACATTAGCTCATATATCATTGGAGTCATGAACTAGTTTCATAGTACCCCCTAGAATATTTTCCTAGGGGGGTAAAAATGCCAAAATTTAGTGTCGTGACCACCCCGTTGAGCTGTCATCTTTTAATATCTTTATCAGCATGAAAAACTGATCTAGTAAAAATAGGTCTGTTGCTTTTTCTAAAAAATGCCTCAAAAACTTGAATTATTTGAATTGGAACCTGTCTATTATTGGATGAAGTGATTTTGTTCACATCATGTACCTTGTTCTTCTCTTTTAACCCATCATCACCATTTCCTGAGTCCTTGCAGTTTTCAAGTAATTGCCAATTTTGACACCAGAAGTAAACAAAGCTTAATTAGGCTCATTGAATTTTTAATAGAGTCATAAAGGTAATTGATTAATTGGGACTTGTATCACTTAATCTATTTTCTATTTGTTTCATAGCCTTTTAGTTTCATCCGGTAATTAGCTTTGAACCAATTGGTCTTCTGTCAAATGAAGTTAGGGGGGTATAGAGAATGGCCCCCTTTCATTTGTCTGTACGTATGTCTGTATGTATGTCCTTCCTGATAATAAGTCAAATACAGTTGGCCAAATATTGTTTATATTCTATACATATATGTCCCATAGTTTTTACTGTGCTCGATTGCTATGAAATTTAGAACAAGATACCAAGAGTGACATGCAAGTTGTGTAAATAATCTTTGTACAGGTATTGTTTCTGAATATGTCAGTTTATAGCTATATCACTAAACATGCTGGTCCATGTACGATTGCCTTGGTCTGTGTATTGTATGTGCAATACTCATTCCCTACAAAAAGCAGATACATATCAGTGTATTGAGTATTGCTGATTCCTGTAATATGCGGTGGTATGTTAATCCAGATATTATCTGACCGAGGGTCACGAAGATTGAACTGATCAGTGATACTTCCCTCTATGATATTCCAGTTTAGACGCTCAGAGATGTACACCGTTTCATCCTTAAACATGTACCTGAAAAACAGAAATAAAATTTAAAACACATATAATTAGGAGTATCCATATATTCAAATTATTGACAATAATTTCATTTATGGCAATGTGAGAGTCGGTTAAGGTTTAGGTATGAACAAGCCCTAAGAAGACCATTCCCCGGTTATCCCAGGTAAATGTTTCTGGTAAGTTACACTGAACGAAACATCAAGCTTCAGATCTCGAGAGTACGAGATGAGACTTTAGACGAGATATCGATAGGATTGTAGTTGGAGGGTTTTCTCCCTAGGTGCGTACAAAATCCATTAACATCAATGTAAGTTATACATTTCGATTCTTTTTATCGACATTTATCTCTTGTATATACATTTATCTATCGCTGAATCGTTTTGTGAAAATTTTATCGTAATATTTCACACAAAAAACGTCAGTTTAAAAAAGTTCAAAAAAAAATTTCAAACACGTTTTATCTTTTGTCTTTATGACTTTGTAGTTTTATGTTTGAAGTATTCAATTGATATCTCGTACATATGGTTTAAAACTTGAATTTATACAAAAGAATTAATTTATTGATGAATATGGACACGTCACATTTTACTCGAGTCTCTACCTTACAGCTAGATGTAACTTCATCTATTTCGTATGTACTCGTATTTCGTATGTAAAAATTGCTACACGCACCTAGAAATCATTTTATATTAATTATATTTAGGATGAAGCGTTGCTTGTCTGGTTTTAGATATTTCAAAATTTCTTTTCGGAGTTTGACACATGGTTAAATTTTCTCGCTGTAGCTAAAAATGGCTTCCGGTTCCAGACGTCAATAATGTAGGAAACTTTGAAATTATTCTCGCTTAAAGAAATCAAATATAACAATAGATTCAGACGGAGATGTGTGCTGATGTTTCTCAAATCTATACATAAAGATATATTTCATATTATTATGCCGTATTTCCTGTGTGTGTGACACATTGATTTACAATATTTACAACACCAAGGCAGCTAATCTTTCTACTCAAAGCCGGAATATAGAGAAGGTTTGGACCTAAGTAAGTCACATACATGTCCTCAAGTTACGTTCAATAGACTCCATCCAATCTAATAATAGATATTTCATTTATTTACGAGTGTAAGTAACCTTGTAGGCTATTAAATAAATATTTCTATTCTATTTTATTATCCCATTCCAGAGATTTCTGGTTGTTATTGGGATTATTCATAGTACCATTAAGGTACAGATATCATTTTATTATTTGATATATATTTATCTCTTGAGAGAGCTATAATTATTCCTTTTCTTCTATATTTCTGACACCTTATTGCACATAATAAACTTTACTCTGAGGATAAGACAATAGTCAATATTATCCTTACCTTTCTTCTCCCATTATACAAGACAATTAGAGATGCCTAATGTTATTAGGGTCAGCATTATAGGCCACAGTTTTGTTCGGAAAATAGAAGAATCTAACCATTTTGACTTTAAATTAAAGGAAGACATAGTTAACTATAATACCATCATTGTATATACAATTAAACAATTTCAGATGATGTAAAATATAAAAATCCCTATCCAGATATGGCTATATTACAGCTAGGATAAAATGATCTGGTTCATAGATCATCTACCTTTGTTGCAAAAAATCTCATCACTTTGGCTGAACAATATTTAGATATACATCCTTCATTAAAAGCCTTTTATATTGGAGAACTATTTCAACGCTCATGGCATCCTTTCAAATCCTCGATCAATACTGCTTCAGAAGGCATTCAATATAATTCAATATTTTATCTACCAATTTCAAATTGTTAAATGATATTCATCATCATAAGGGCAATAGACTTTTGTTCCTACATCACCCACATACCACCCAATATAGAATCAATGGTCAAATTTGATAGATGACTCCTACGATCCCATACATCTCAATGCAAAGGGGAAAAGCGTTTCGTCAAGTCCTGGAAAGGCGCAGTCCTGAGATTTCTTGATTACATTTATTAGGTAATAATAATTAGACTTAACATTAGAAGAGACGGCTACTCTTCTCTAACCAAACATAAGCCAGAGAGTCGTTAACTTTTCACAATAGTTTATTCACTTAGTTATCCTTCATAAGTACTATACTTATAATAGGAAATTTAGTTTCCTGTTTACTTATATTTTATCATATTTATATTATGATAAATATATATTATTTTGTATATCATCTGCATTTATTCATGCAGTGTATACTATACCTTTAGACATGATATGTTATCATATTTATATTATGATAAAATTCATATTATTTTATATTTCATATTCATGCATTGTATGCTTTACCTTTATTCTTAAAGGTTATCATATTTATATTATGATAATTCATATTACATTTATATCATATGCATTTATTCATGCATTGTATACTTTACCTTTATTCTTAAAGGTTATCATATTTATATTATGATAATTCATTTTTTATATTTCATATGCATTTATTTATGCAGTGTATTCTAAATCATATTTATTATGATTAGCCTTATGGGCATCATATTTATATTATGATAATTCATAATCTTTATATATAATATGCATTTATTTATGCAGTGTATTCTAAATCATATTTATTATGATTAGCCTTATGGGCATCATTTTTATATTATGATAATTCATAATCTTTATATATCATATGCATTTATTTATGCAGTGTATTCTAAATCATATTTATTATGATTAGCCTTATGGGCATCATATTTATATACATCTAACATGGAGCATGTGCTTCTATTTATATTTATCTAAATGTTTTTATGTCTTGAAGTTGCTTACCCTCTATATAACTACTAATTATTTCACTGCAAATGTCTGAAACTGAAGGACCTAACCCAAGTATTACTATTGAAGAGTATCACACTTCTAATACCCTGACTGCAGCCAAGTCTATGCCCACTTTAATAAGGGGCAACTTTACAACAACTTTTCCCTTATCCCCTTTCCCTTCTTATTCCACTACATCTTCCATTCCAACCCAACATTTCATTCTCTCTAAATAGACCCACAGCATCTATTACTCGCCCTATTCCATCTTTTGCATCAAGCGCTAATATCCAACCCTACCCTTCCATCCCTCCAGTCTCTACTAACCTTTCAGCTTTTCATAATTCCCAACCCGTCTCTACAGCTTATGGATTAATTCCCAACACAAATGCCATGCTACAAGGACAGGTGTCAGTAGCTTCAATAAATCCAATTCCCAGTTTTTAACATATTACATTACATTATTTGTCCATATTTCAGATTTTGCGGATTTACTTTAATTCATTTCTATGATATTCTTATATTTTGGTATTCATGTATTGATTCATGATTGTATTGAAGAAGACAAAAACAATGATTATGTCCTCTGTGAGATGTAATCTGACAATTCTTTTGAATCAAAACATTTGAATTTTAAACCCTTCAAAGAAGGGAAAATCCTTTCATTTCCAGAATGGGTCCGAGCATTCAGTATATTTATTGCTGTCTATACCCAAAGATTTCATGATCAAACCCCTCACCTCTTGAAATATATATCCCCTTGTCCCTTTAACCACACCTGCCCAACTTGCAAAATGTTACTCTCGCAACAACGGCAGGCAAGCCCAATTCCCCAACAAAAAGCGCTCAGGTACTGGAGACTCCAAAAAACCCTTCGGTGAACTTATGTCAACACAAGTTGTTACTCCAGTTAAACCTGAAAGACTCAGATATTGGCTTGAAGGCTATGAACATCAAGAAGAAACAGTTCATGGTTTCTAGTACGGATTTAAATTTCCTCACTCTGATTTGCCAGAACATTACAACATTACTCATGATAATTTGTAATCATATCTAAGAATCCAGAAGCTCTCAAAAAATTAAACAAAGAGCTTGAAGCTGGTAGAATACTTGGACCTTTTGACCAGCCACCATTTGATATTATTTCACCCTTATTTCTCGTTCCTAAAAATCTCCAGGTTAATTCTGTGTTATTCACAACTTATCACATCCCAGAGGCCAACCCATAATGATACTATCCCAGACGAAACTTCTACAGTTAAATATGCAACCGTACAACAAGCCATAGATATTATAAAACATTTAGGAAAAGGTTGCTTCTTGTGTATGACTATTAGAAGCTTGTTTGCTCATGGACATGGCAAAACAATCATTGCCACTTTATGTAACATCAACCCCTTTACCATTAAGCCAAAACCAAAGAAAGTCTCAAAGAGAACTTTTATCTGCTATAGGATTCCTTAGCTACTGTTGTTGTGTGATTCCTTTCGGTAGATAATTTATTTCATTATTTATTCATCTATCTAAAAATGAAGGAGCTACATTATAAAATCTTAATCAACACTCCATCTATGCAGGATTTATTAATGTGGAAATAGTTTCTAATTCCCTTTAATGGGAAATCTATTTTCCTTACAGAAGAACAAGAGAACAATTGCATCTTTTACCGATGCTTCTACTACGATAGGCTTTGGAGCCGTTTGCAATAATCTTTGGTTTAAAGGGGAATGGCCATCAGAATGGAAAGAATTGGACATCAATATTCTTGAATTATATCCTATTGTTACTGCTATACTTACATAGGCAAAACTTATGTCTGGACACACAGTTATCCTGCATTCTGACAATGAAGCAGTAGTGAACATACCGAATTAAATTTTCTACCAGCAATCAAACGTCCATGCAACTCTTACTTCCTATATATTAAAATGTCTCTTAAACAATATCATGTTCAAAGTGAACACATTGCTGGTATTCTTAATTCTGCTGCTGACACTTTATCTAGAAACAATTTATGTTACTTTTTATCTTTTAGAAGCACTTCAAGCTGCCCAAGCCCCGTCTACCAGAAAGTCATATGATTTATTAGTACAGTTCAACTCCCAGACAGGTATAGGTGAATTTCCTCTAACCCCAGCCTCTGCTAGCCTTTTTGCAGCACATCTTCGTTTAAAGAATTATCCCCCTAATTCATTCAAGTCAGTTCTGTCTGGTTTATCATTTTTATCATATTTTCACAATTAACAATTTCAAGGATCCCACTACTTCTTATGTAGTCTCTCAAATAGTTTCTGGTTTTTGTAAACAAAATCCTAGCATAGACACTAGATTGCCAATCAACACAGCCTTGTTAGAACAAATGGTTTCTAAAACTTCTGAAGTAGATTTTGACCCTTTTGCTCAAGTCTTGTACAGAGCTATGTTATCTACAGCCTTTTTGGCTTACTAAGAAGTAGTGAGTTGACAAGTACTTCCGCAGGACACAACTTACAGTTAGAAAGTATTAAATTCTCTCCCGATGAAGCCTTTTTCATTATTACTTTTTCACATTTTAAACATAGCTCATCTCCTGCTACGATATCAATTAATTCTCAATTACCATCTTGTTGTCCAGTATTACATATGAAGTTGTACCTGAACATAAGGTCCTTTAAATCAGGTCCTCTTTTCATTTATAGAGATGCTCCAGTGAATACTTCTGTATTTAACAATTTTCTTCACAAACTCTTTGTTCAATGTCAGGTAGATCCTACCTTCTATAAATGCCACAGTTTGCGGATAGGCGGAGCTACATGGGCCACAAATCTTGGACTTGATGACTATACTATCAAAAGATTGGGAGATGACATACATACATACATTAAAAAATATATTAGGTAGACATTTATAAACTCAGACCGGTGTCGAGTATGCAATTTTCATTAAAGCCCCAAAGTTGCTCAGACAGGTGTCGAGTATTCAATTTTCATGTAAACCCCAAAGTCGGCTCAAACAGGTGTCGAGCATGCAAATTTCAAGTAGCTACTGTTTTTTCTTCATGATGTACTAGAAATTTAATTGAGATAAACCCGCACTTTCTGAATTCAAAAATTTTCATTCAATTCTAATTCCTTTATCTTACCTGAGATTGACAGCATATTACATTACATTACATTAATTTATCCATCAATATTTCAGAATTTGCGGATTTACTTTAGTTCATTTCTATGATGTTCTTATAATTTGGTATTCATGTATTGATTTGTGTGTATCAATAAATGATTTAACTACTTTCTAATTAATCTTCTTTTCTTTTGGGCTCTCGCGAGAGATCGCGCATGGCCTTATTTTCGCCCAAGAAGATGAGTTGGAGATGGTATTATAATATATCCAATTGAGCTAATTAACAGTTATGTCAAATTGTAAACTCTTGTAGCTAATTAACTTAAATTAGCCATTATTTTCCAAGGTATTGTGTTTTGTGTTAATTGGCTCAATATTTATTTATATTAATTTTATATTAATAATTTTACATGTACGACTCTCACGGCCATATCTATACTCTACATGAACATAAATTCAAATTATTGACAATAATTTCATTTATGGCAATGTGAGAGTCGGTTAAGGTTTAGGTATGAACAAGCCCTAAGAAGACCATTCCCCGGTTATCCCAGGTAAATGTTTCTGGTAAGTTACACTGAACGAAACATCAAGCTTCAGATCTCGAGAGTACGAGATGAGACTTTAGACGAGATATCGATAGGATTGTAGTTGGAGGGTTTTCTCCCTAGGTGCGTACAAAATCCATTAACATCAATGTAAGTTATACATTTCGATTCTTTTCCCTCACCTCCTTCCCCAGCTTACACCACCAGTTGGAGATTTATTTTCGCCCAAGAAGATGAGTTGGAGATGGTATTATAATATATCCAATTGAGCTAATTAACAGTTATGTCAAATTGTAAACTCTTGTAGCTAATTAACTTAAATTAGCCATTATTTTCCAAGGTATTGTGTTTTGTGTTAATTGGCTCAATATTTATTTATATTAATTTTATATTAATAATTTTACATGTACGACTCTCACGGCCATATCTATACTCTACATGAACATAAATGTCCTTTGATTTATTAATCATACTTTAGCATTGTTATGTCACCACCAAAAAGTGGTGGTTATGGTCTCCGTTTTTTTTACAGCGGTTGGCGATCAGCCTCTGTAACAAATTCTTACTACTTCCAATAACTTAAATACTGTTTAGACTGACTTCAATTTTTTTCAAAATCCTCAAGTTTTTTTTTCCAAGATGACTGTATGTCTTGTTACAAGTCATGATAAGGGAATGATCCATCTAAAAAAATTGTTTAACATGTCAAACTTACGTCTGTGTTCCACTGTATTCTAAGACAGCATCTACATTATTTGGAGTACCTGCCCCATAAAGCCAGTCAGCGGTTTGGGGAAATGCATTGCAAACGCTCCCACTGTCAGTGTTCCAGAATCTGTCCATACAGTGAACTGTTTTTGAGCCTAAATATTTACAGTTTTTGTATTCAGTTTGAAAGTAAAATGAAATCCCGCAAATGAAATGAATTATTTATCACACAATGGTCAAAATGGGCTCACATGTCATGAACGATCAAGTGTAATTCATGGACCATGTTTATCAAATTATAGACAAACAGTGAATATTTGGAGATATTCACCGCTGCCGTGACTTTTTTAAATGAACTAATTTTGTTCAGTATATGAAATAAACCATGACATGATAACATATGTTCTAACCGATACTAATGTTTTAATCGTTGTTTTAACAAATGAGTGAATGATATTTACGATGGTAAGCCTGATAGTAATATAAGTAGATAAAACAAATATTTCATTCTATTTCAGTGAATACCTGTGGCACAGGCATTCAGCTAAATTAATGAAATATATTAATACATTAAAACTTGTAAAGTGGAACACCTTTAAGTGGAACACCTCTACAAGTTGAACACCTCTACAAGTTGAACACTTTTCAGAGTCATATGACACCAACTGCCTTAATGACAAATGAAAAGTTGAACACCGTCTAAGTGTAACACTTTTTGAGGGGTACCAAAGGTGTTTTACTTACACAGGCTTTACTGTACATGTATTTACCTTCGAGAAATATATGTAAATCATCACTGTCTCCATTATTGTCATATTCTCCAATTTCCCTAAGGCTGTAGTCATCAATGGGCCCATTGTATATACCCCATGTGTTACCTCCATTGCTGACATAGGTTACTGTCCCATCCGAGTTTACATTGAATCTGTAGTAGCTTTTAATTAAAAAATGAATATGTTAATGTAAAGCCATTTTATATGTGCTACAGATGGGATGTAGGCCATGAATCAATAGATAGAATTTCTCGTCAAAATGGCTACCATTGTTTCAGAACTTTTAACTCATTTAATGCAACTACCTGTTATTGGATTTGGTTCCATCATGTATGAGTCTAAGGATCTCTACTCATGAAGGAATATCTTCATTCTGTCCCCACAAAAACAATGTGTTTCTTTAGTTCTTCATGGTTCAAAAATAGTCATACTCTGTCTGAATGTATTCGCAATAACTACACAACTGGACCTGAACCTTTCAATTTATTGATGCAAATCCTCAGAAAATCAAAATCAATCGTTTTTAAATGGCAAAATACACAATTACAAATTATTTACAAAATTTTGGAAAAAATGCCAGTAATAAATTCTTTACTTGTGATTATCTGCTGTTAGATATACACTTGATCCATCTAGTACTCCACCTGTTACCACATCAAATGGGAGGGATGGACATGGCTGAAATATATTAGGTTAGATATACAACTGATCCATCTAGTACTCCACCCGTTACCACATCAAATGGGAGAGATGGACATGGCTGAAATATATTAGGTTAGATATACAATTGATCCATCTAGTACTCCAACTGTTACCACATCAAATGGGAGAGATGGACATGGCTGAAATACATTAGGTTAGATATACAACTGATCCATCTAGTACTCCAACTGTTACCACATCAAATGGGAGAGATGGACATGGCTGAAATATATTAGGTTAGATAAACAAATGATCCATCTAGTACTCCAACTGTTACCACATCAAATGTGAGAGATGGACATGGCTGAAATATAATAGGTTAGATATACAACTAATCCATCTAGTACTCAAACTGTTACCACATCAAATGGGAGAGATGGACATGGCTGAAATATATTAGGTTAGATATACAACTGATCCATCTAGTACTCCAACTGTTACCACATCAAATGGGAGAGATGGACATGGCTGAAATATATAAGGTTAGATATACGACTGATCCATCTTGTTATGTCACCTCCAAGAAGTGGTGACATATTGTTATGGTCTCCATTTTTTGTGATGGCGGTTGGTGATCGGCAGATTGTGGTTGGCGTCTGTAACAAATTCTTATAACTTCCAATAACTTAACAAATACTGTTTAGACTACCTTCAGATTTTTTTCAAAATCATCTACAAGTTTTCAGCAGTTTTGACCTTCAATGACATTCTCAAGGTCAAAAAAATATTTGACCTTCAATGACCTTCTCAAGATCAAAAAAGTTTTTTTTCAACTTGCTTCAAATGACCAATTTTTGCAAAATCATCTACAGGTTCTCAGAAGTTCAAATCTGACTTTAGATTTGAGATTTCGCCTTCAATGATCTTCTCAGGGTCAAAAAATGTATTTTTTCAACTTGCTTCAAATTGACCAATTTTCTTTTTCAAAATCATCTACAAGTTCTCAGGAATTCAAATATGATTTAAGATTGAACTAATAATACTGTGAGCAAGATTGAACTAATAATATTGTGAGCAACTAGGTGGTGACATTTTGTCATGTTAATGCCTTGTACGCCACCTGTTAACACATCAAACGTGAGAGATGGACATGGCTGAAATACGAAAAATCATATATTAGGTTATATATACAACTGATCCATCTTGTACTCCAAATGGGAGAGGTGGACAAGGCTGAAATATAAGCAAGATATTGTTTCATATAGGAACACTTTGATAATCAAATTTATAGTTTTAAATTATATATGCTAAACAAATGATGAAATCTATTTTTGAGTCGACACTAGTATAGTACCCCAAATTTGATAAAATATGTTCTGTTTGGTGGGATGCGTTACTTAAGGGAGTTGATGTAATTTTAGCATTTTTTTTTTCTTGTGATGAGCTTAAATAGAATATGGAAATATCTTACATTTACAGTGGTTGGTGTAGTCATTGTTGTAGTTGCTGTTGTTGGTGTAGTCATTGTTGCAGCCTCTGCTGTTGGTGTAGTCATTGTTGTAGCCTCTGTTGTTGGTGTAGTCATTGTTGTAGCCTCTGTTGTTGGTGTAGTCATTGTTGTAGCCTCTGTTGTTAGAATTGTTGATGTAGCCAGTGTAGTTGTTGTAGTTTGTGGCTGCCTCATCGTATGCTCATAATAGTTGAAATTCAAACGATATTCTAAATCACCACATGAGGATATCTTTGCATCAAGTAATTCGCATGAGACACCAGCTTGGTTCATTACAGAGCCAACATTATATGCCAAGCAAAATGGTGTTTCTTCACACATTAAACTGCAGTGCAACTTACTCCTGGTGACCATTGTTTTAGTTGGTGTAAACTTTGCTGCTCTCTCACTTATCTCATCACACTGACTGTATGCAGCGTATTGTCCATTTGTAAGCACTGCCTCTGTGAAGCAAATATTTAAAATTCCAAACACGACACTTCTCAACATCTTCATTTTCATTGAAAAAATCAAGTTGTCTTCCACTTCCACATGTTATGTTATGCTATATCAAGATGTATTATTTTTCACTACTACCAGTCGCACAAAAATGTATTAAAATATCTATATTTATAACTTAATGTGAGCTATTGATGATGATTACTTGCTCAAAAGTACTTGCTCACTTGCTCATATTCATCAATTTCATGGGTTTTATGGCTTTTCACATTTTGTGTTGATCACTCTCTGTCAGTGTCTTATCTGCGAGAGATATCAAGTTGAATTTGAAGTAACTGACACCCTGTGAACCAGGAATACAAAATGCATCTTAATTGATTTTCAATTCCAGTGTTATGACCTACCGTTCGTTAAAAGCTTTTAGTTCATTACCGGCACTTTCTTATTGTTGATTGTAATATGTATAGGTAGACATGGTCAATATCCTACTCCTGTTTCCATTAATAAACTTTGTTTCATAAATGTATAATGGTATAATGTCACCACCAAAAAGGTCAAAAAAGGTTAAAAAAGATCAAAAATGTGTTTTTTCAACTTATGCTTCAAATTGACCCAGTTTTCTTTTTCAAAATCATCTAGAAGTTCTCAAAACTTCAATTCTGACTATAGATTTGACCTTCAATGACATTCTCAAGGTCAAAAAAGATTTGACCTTCAATGACCTTCTCAAGGTCAAAAAACTTGCTTCAAATTGACCATTTTTAAAATCAACTACAAATTCTCGGAGGATCAAATCTGACTTTAGATTTGAGATTTCACCTTCAATGACCTTCTCAGGTCTTTTTAACTTGCTTCAAATTTCACCAATTTTTTTTCAAAATCATTTACAAGATCTCAGAAATTCAAATCTGACTTAAGATTGAACTAATAATATTGTGAGCAACAAGGTGGTGACATTTTGTCATGCAAATGCCTTGTGACTAATCTATTGTATCCTTAAAATGAATTGAGTGCTCAAGAATTAAGAAATGTTAGATCCCATAAAATTGTAAATTTGCCTTTAGAGAGCAAATTAACTATAAAATTATTGTATATTGGATTTTTTCAATTAAGAATGTGGTATTAAATTAAGATAAAATCAAGAAATTTTGTAATAATTATCTTTATTAAAATTTTCTTTTTGATCATATTAAGTAACAACAAGCACAACATAAATTGCAAGGAAACCCATTAATTTTGGAACTTAATGAGCCAATATTGATTCAATATCTGTCGATTGTAACCAACTGGATTTTATTACATTACCTTGAATACCAATCTCTAAAGAGGCAATGAAACCATGGCATTTTTTGCCAGTTTTTTGGCATTTACCATATAAATATACAATGTGTGATGTTTGCTTTCATAAGATTTGTAAACATAGACCCATTACATACATTTTAGACATAATTTGACATATAGATCCGTTGCTCTGGGTTCCCATTGAATTTTATTTGTGACAGAAATATCTGTCAATCTGGGTATTCAAGAAATTAACAAACAAAACGAAACCAAACTTAACAAAAGACTTCCCCTTTATTGAACAACTCGTGCAATACATTTTTAAAGAAACATCGACCATATTGCCTTACAATAATACCCCTATGTGTGTATATTGCTAATTTCTTGAATCCCAAGCTCTAAAATTGGTTTGAAACCAGAGAATTTTTCAATTTCACCAGCCCTCAGTCTGTCCGTCTGTCCATCTGTCCATCCGGAAGATAACTCAAAGACAAGTAGATGAATTTGCTTTAAAATTAGTGGAAAGATATATATTTGTGAATAGTTTAATGCCGCCGCTTAAAGCTGGACTTTGCCCCGAAACGTTCTAAATGAAGAATGTGACGTCACTTCCGAATCATAGCATACAAAATAAGTAGCGTTTAATTACATCCACCATTCATAATAGCACGGTGGTCTAGCGGTAGAATGCTCGTTTAGCAAGCGGGAGGCCCGGGTTTGAATCCCGCATTTGCCTTTTTTTTTTTTTAATTAAATGATTGTTCTTTGATATTATGCAGAAAAAAAACAATTTTTATTTACATAAACTTTATATTAGAGCTTGAAAATGTAAAAATAATATATGTCAACATATTGCGTTTTGGAGCGATGTGCAGGTTTAAGAAATGGCAGGAATATTTGGCGAAAATCATAAGTTTTTCATTTTAAACCAAAGAAGTAAATATTATTGTTTGAAATGTTGATAGTATATTCAAAACATCAATCTATGTCACATATATTTTGAGTTTTTCAGCTTGGCCCCAGGGGCAGTATGGGAGGTTGGGAAAACAGGACTTTGTGTTAATTTTGAGATTTTTCTAAAGCATGGCTTTATTATACTCAAATGAAAGCCAATTTAGAGTAGATTGCAAATGTTGTATCATTTTTTTTTCTCAATTTGGGCCTAGTAAAATTCAAAATGGCTGCCTTATGTGGGATTTCGCAATAATTTTCTGATCTTTTCAAAGTATGGCAATATTATATTCAAATTGAAGGAAATCTAGGGTAGATCAAAAATATGGTATTGTTTTTCTGATGTATGCTTCAGAAAATTCAAAATGGCTGGCATTGGGGGTATTCATACTGCCTCCTTAAGCAAACCCTGTATGATACAACCCCAGAGTCCTCTTTTCTGGGGACCCATGTACATTTCTCAAATTATTGCAATAACAAAAGTGCACTGTTTCACAAAAGTTACTGCATTATACCAGTATGTCTTGTTTGTGTGACTTTTAAGTCGCAATTAGATTTTGATCAGAATTTATCATAATTCTTTTCATATGACCTGCAGTCATTGAAATACTTTTGTTCATATTAAAAGTGTCTCGTTAACCACATGGTCATTTGGATGTATGCAAGGGTACTTTTGTTTAATTTAGACCTGTCTACTTGCAGCGCAACAATAAATGCATTGGCAAAGAAGCTGAAAGACTATTGCGTGGCGATGAAAGGAGGAAAATCCCAAACTGCTGAAGCAACGTGAGTAAAATTTAAAAAAATCATCTATTCATTAAAAAAAATCATCGATTTTCCTTGAAAAATTTGACCTTTTGGCTATAATTAGAATACCAATATTTGAAAGATCAAAGGCAGTATAGTCTTATATCTAAGCCCAAAAGTCCATACAGATCTGTATATGCCCACAGGCGGTTAAATTACTCTTGTTGACACCATGTTTAGAATGAGATAATAAATGACCAGATACTGTTTCAGGATCAGCCAGAAACTGTATTGCCAATGTATTAAATTACTCCTATTTGAAAACTCGTCCTAGTCATTCCAAATATGAGTTTGTAAGGACTCACTTTCACCATCGAGACAAATAAAATGAGAAAGAAGTTGTGGTCCTTTTTTGAGTACAGTCGTATAATTACATAGAGTATGTGTGTATGCTGCTGAGAGGGTTTACAAGTGAATACATTAATTTAAGTTCTTCAAAGAGTATTATATTTAAAATCATTTTGGTCATTTAAACTGATCTTATTTCCAAAATTAATTAAATCTAGAATGACTGTTTAGATACAAAGAAGTTATTCACCAGGAGGGATTTAATATGGGGAATAGCACAAGGATGATATCTATATTTCCCAAGGGAACGCATTGACCAAGGGAAATATTGATTTCATCCGAGGGATATTCCTCATATCATCCTGACAGGTGAATAACGACCTTATACCATGGTCAAGAGCAATATCTACATAGTCCTCTGTCGAATGAGAGAGAAAAATCTTCGACTCTTAGGAATATTAAAGTTACATATTATCCCGCCCTTACGAGCATTGAGAATTTAAGAATATAAAAAAAATAATAATAATAAAAACATACAAGAACACAAATGTGTACAATATGTCCCCACCTATGGGTGATCCTGTCAAATGGTTCTCCTAAAAATGAGTAGACAAGACTTTACCGACACAATTTGAGGACGGAGAATCCAAAATGGCCACCTTAAAATTTACCAAGAATGCCAAAAAATTAGTCAGTTCATACTAAGAACCACCCCTGAAAATTTGAAATTAATCCGTCACACAGTTAACCAGAAAACATATAAACAAGACTTTACAGACAAGATTTGAGGACAGAAAATCCAAAATTGCTGCCTTGACATTTATCCAAAAACTAAAAAAAAAATGCCAAAAACTAATCTGTTCTAGATTTTCATACTAAGAATCATCCCTGAAAATTTGAAATTGATCTACCAAACAGTTCACCTGGAAATGTGTAGACAAGACTTTACAGACGAGATTTTAGGACAGAAAATCCAAAATGGCTGCCTTGACATTTACCCAGAATGCCCAAAAACTAATCAGTTCTAGATTTTCATACTAAGAATCATCCCTGAAAATTTGAAATTGATCTACCAAACAGTTCACCTGGAAATGTGTAGACAAGACTTTACAGACGAGATTTTAGGACAGAAAATCCAAAATGGCTGCCTTGACATTTACCCAGAATGCCCAAAAACTAATCAGTTCTAGATTTTCATACTAAGAATCATCCCTGAAAATTTGAAATTGATCTACCAAACGGTTCACCTAAAAACGTGTAAGTATTATCGTGCGCTAACTTTTCTTAAAACATTCAAAATGGCTGACATGACTGAGCTAACAGGTCCAAAACCTAATCAGATCTAGAATGAAGTGAGCTGAACAAGATGTTAAAGTTTTAGAAGCAACTGTGAAGCCATTTTTCTTAAAGTTTGCAGACAAGGATTTTAGCATTTGACTTCAAAATGGCCGACAGGAAGTAGGCATCGAGTTAATTTTTTTTCATCCACATCTGTATGCACTCATAAGTTATCCCTGAAAATTTGAAGGTGATATCTGTAGCGGTTTTGGAGAAAACTGCCGGACGTACGGACGGACAGACAGACGGACAGACAGACAGACAGACAGACAGACGGACGGACAGACGGACGCGCCTAGGCCGACAATATGGCCCCACACTATGTGGTGGGGACATAAAAAAAATTGAAAATGAAAATTACTTTTAAACACAAAGAATTGAAAAAATTAAAATTTTTAAAAAATGCAAAAAATTTGGGAATTTACCCAGGATGATATCAATATCATTCCTGATATCATCTCTCTAATCCTGATATCATCCTTGTCCTAAATTTGTGATTTATCACTTGCTATTATATACCTGATATTGCTCTGACCATGGTATAAAATATAATATGAAACTCTGGCAAGAACACCTCCCATCCCTATTAGAACAAGCTCCCAGAGTTCCCAGATTTTCTTTATTTGAACTCATTTCAGATAATGATAATAATATAGTAGTGTGGTCAGTAATTTCATAAAATCCAATTTTTAGATTCTTATCATTATGTCATCAATATATCAGATTGAACATCATCAACTTCTAAGATGGTTAGAATGGAAAGTTTAAGAGTTGTGAATCATGCTTAGAAAGCTTCTACATACACAATGATATAGCAGCAAGCAGCCATATACCACATATGTACCCATATGTAGGCTTGAATTTCAGAATCAAAGCAATTAAGGATCAACCGTTTAAGATAAGGTGACAACCCCATTAATTTTAGCCAAGAAGAAATCTGAAAATTTAATGTCTTTCTGGGTCTCTTTCTAGGACTAAGTAAGGATAAATGTTGGAAACTCAGCCATTTTACATTAACTAATGTTGTAAATATGTTCCATTTTGAGTATAAACTGTATGTTGATATTGATATATTCCAGTGTGCGGCCAGATTGGCAGTGGGTCCAATGCGATAAGTGCGATAAATTCAGAAGACTGCCTACATTCATTGCTGATTGTGACCTACCAAAAGAGTGGTATTGTTATATGAACAATGACCCCAGCAGGAAGTATGTTCAGCATCATAAAAACATAATTATGAAAACAAAAATACAAAAAATGTTATCCTAATGATTTTATAAAGTTGAACATTTCGACCCATTATTTCCACATTGTTATATCTCACTTTTTACAGGTTTTGAGATAAGTATACTATCTTTCTCAATTTTTCACGAGGAATTCATTTCTGGGGTCCATTTCAATGGATCTCATCTCCTTTTGGAGATATCCAGTGCCACATTGTTATAAGTGCAAAATGAGGAGAAAAAAATTTAGGTCCACCTTGTCATATCTGTTTGGGTAGGCAGCAGAGCCAATCAGGTACATAATTTTGATCATGTGATTAACAGTTATAACAATGTGGAAATAATGGGACGATTTTTTGCCACCAAACCAAGATATTAGTCTAGCATATCTCATGTCTAGTGCTATTAATATCAGCGAAAATGCAATTGTAACAATGTGGAAATAATTGGACGATTTGTTGCCACCAAACCAAGATATTAGTTGAGCATATCTCATGTCTAGGCTATCTTTGGGTTAAAATTATGTAGTAAAGGGTATTTGACTTTGTTGGATAAAAACTTCTAAACCACATAAATGCCTTTAAATGTGAACACCTGCTGTTTTGAATGCCTTTGGCTGGTCTGACTGCTGTTCAGATTTAACAGATGTGACTGTCATTTCAGATTTTTTACAGAGATTGCTACTTTAATTTGTGTGTAGTCATTCTTCCTGATATTTTGTAATGGGAACTTTTTGTGATGTTGCCCAGTTCCAAATGCCAAGTTCTTTCTGCCAGACTGATAAAAGTACAATCAACCAATCATATTTTTGCTTGTAGTCGATGTGATATTGAGCAGGAGCCCGAGGATGAAGATGAAGCATTGTCAAAGGCCACTTACAATAAAGTAAAGATTCCAAAGACTTCCCGTCGAGCAGTTGAGGTAAAGTAAAGATCAGTTCATTAAATATGAGAAAAACTAAACATCAAGCAATAAACTTAAGTATATCAATATGTTTGCAATACAGGGTGACACATAAATGCAACTCATTTTGGATAACTCAGTAATCAGGCATCATGATAAACCATGACATCTCATTTCTTCTTAAGTACATTAAGTACATTACAATTTGACCTACTTTTGCAACTTGGCCTATTTAGGTCAATTGTACACATTGCTTGTAATTTTTTCCCCCCGTAGATCTGATTCTGCCTTTAAGTGTTTTTAAGTTTCGTAAGGATCCTGCTATGACTGTGTTAGTGTTATTGTGAAAGCCTGGTATCACCGTGACAATGCTATATTATTGCAAGGCCTGTTATGACCATGGTAATGTTAAAGTCTGATATGACTGTGACAGTGCTATATTATATTGCAAGACCTGTCATGACCGTGGTAATGTTAGCCTTATATGACCGTGACAATGGTTGCAAGGCCTGTCATGACCATGGTAATGTTAAAGCCGGATATAACCGAGACAATCGAAGCAAGACCTGTCATGACCGTGGTAATGTTGAAGCCTGATATGACCGTGACAATGGTTGCAAGGCCTGTCATGACCATGGTTATGTTAAAGCCTGATATGACAATCGAAGCAAGGCCTGGCATGACCATGGTAATGTTAGCCTGGTATGACTGTGACAATGGTTGCAAGGCCTGGCATGACCGTGGTAATGTTGAAGCCTGATATGACTGTGACAATGGTTGCAAGGCCTGTCATGACCATGGTTATGTTAAAGCCTGATATGACCGTGACAATCGAAGCAAGGCCTACCATGACCATGGTAATGTTAAAGCCGGATATAACCGAGATAAGCGAAGCAAGGCCTGTCATGACCGTGGTAATATTGAAGCCTGATATGACTGTAACAATGGTTGCAAGGCCTGTCATGACTGTGGTAATGTCAAAGCCCGATATGACCGTGACAATGGTTACAAGGCCTGTCATGACTGTGGTAATGTCATAGCCCGATATAACCATGACAATGGTTGAAAGGCCTGTCATGACCATGGTTATCTTGTTAAAGCCTGATATGACCGTGACAGTTACTGAGATGCGAGTAGGTAGTTACTGTTTCCCCACCAGGTAGCTAATTTGGGGGAAATAACATGGCAGGGTATTGCAAAGTTCCCTTAAACTTGAATATTTTATCAGTTTTAGTGCTTCACTTTTAATGTAACCCTTAAATGCATAGTTCTCACATTAGGTCTATTTATTGTAGGCTGCCTTGGAGACAAAAAGGCAAAACCTGCAACAGAAGGAACTTGAATTAAAAAAGCAAGAGAACATGTTGGCCAAGAAGGCCCATAAAGCTGTTGCGGATTTACTTCAACATTCTACCATGAAGTAAGTTAAAACCCAATGATAGATTCCCAATTTAAAACTTATGCCAAATCTTGAGCTTTTGGTTTGATGAAAATATTTAATGTAAAACAAAAATTTTGTATGAGAGAACAAATATAGTATACTGTTCTCCCAGTATTTTTCGCATACGATTTAGTTTCGCCCTTTTTTGTGATTCTTGTAAAATCGCAAAAAGTATTTTTTGCCAAATTTACAAATAAAATCCCCGGGATTTGTTCAGTTTGTTATAACCTGGGACTCTGATGCATTTCATTTTGATGTATAACATACCTTTAATATTCAAAAAGAAACATGATGTAATGATAGTGTTATGGTTATTAAAGAAATCTAATATCAAAACAAGGTAAGTGGCCTATATTGAGGTAATTGGGCAATATCGATGGAGATAGCCCTCTTACTTTCCCATTGACTTCCATACAAATGTTTCACTGGGTATGTAATACCTCACTATAAGGCGTATACATTGTGACCTTGGACTACACGGGAAAATCAATGAATAATATTTTTCTATTTAGCTCCAGGAAAAGACCTCATAATGGTGATATAGGAGCGACCTCGAGCAAGAAACAACACACTGGTGATGATAACAATGTAGACTTTAGGATTGAAGTAAATATGGACTTCGACGAAGATGAACCTGAGCATTTGAGCCCTCGCAACAAACAACAGACATCTACTAAAGCACACCCTCCAGAGAAACAAAATAGGGCCAGAGGTAGCAGTGTTGTAAAACCCCATAAGGAACCAAATGAAATTATTCTCATTGACACTGATGAAGAAATACCAAAACAAATATCCCCAGTTCTAGTCAGTGTAAAGGATCATACTAAAGCTGATATAGCTGAAGTCTGTACGATAAATGATGTAAAAGTCAGCCAGGGTGCTAGTTTGTTAAAAACTCCCAATAGTAGTGCTTCCACTTCCACTAAGGCACTAAGTGGATTAAATTCCTCTAAACTTGGATTACGAGAAATTGCACAATATAGTGGAGATATTTCTAAACAGGAGCATGCTATCAAGAAGGAGATAGACCCCGCTAAAACATATATTAAAAAGGAGATTGATCCTATAAAGAAAGAGAAAGATTCAGTAGTGGCACCACAAATTTACAAGGTTCCTAAAGTTGAAACAGATAGTGTTCAAGCACAAACTAACCCAGTATATATTTATGATACTGATATGGCAGCAAAACTAAATGCAACTGAGTCGAGTCTAAATGCAAAACTAAATGCCACTGAGTCAAGTCTAAACGCAAAACTTACCACTGCTGAGAAAAGGCTTAAAACACTCCAGAAGAATGTGGTACGCCTTATTGGTCTCATCACTCCAGATCTTGACATCAAGGACCTTGATGACTTAGATGTAATTCTTCCTCAGATGCTTGAAGTTAACGAGGCTAATGAAGCAAAGGAGACGGAGGCAGCCATGCAGAAGGATGCATCAAATTAGTAGTCAGACATTTTCAGCTCAAATACAGGATATATGAACAAAGTATAATATTGCTGTTACACAAGTCATTGTCTATGTGTCATTGTTTATTGTTTATGAATTATGGACACCAATGGTAGACAAGTCTGCCATATAGAGAATGGGCTTTGGCATGTATGTATGTAAGGTAGTTTCTTCTAACTAACTCTAGATTGATCAGATTGATAAGCTAGTTAAATAATGTTGAGGATTTCTACAGGGTGACAACGTACATTCACGTGTTTTAACCAGACCTCATGATTCAGTGAACTTGCTCCATACCTGCCAACCTACCGTATATTTGTATATTTACGGGAATCTACTGTAAATTTTTCGTTTTTCCGTAAAAAATGACAAACTACCGTAAAAAACGACCACATTTTGAAAAAAAATACTGCAAAAATACCGCAATTCAAAAAAAACTACCGCAAATTTTTGGTCTTAGGTTGGCAGGTATGTGCTCGGCGGTATCATGGCTAAGCCATTGGGCTATATGCATTAGCCAGCTCATCAGTATGTTCAGCTCAAACAAGGATCCTCAAAATCTCACTGTATGTTGAGGTCTGCTTAGTACCCATGTACATTGCAAGTGCATACCAGACTAGATAGTATGTTTAATTTGACCTTTATAGACTATTGGAGACTATTCATTTTTGGGAATTTTGTAAAATTATGTCACCAAAATAAAAAATAGTGAAGTGTTGATTGACGAATAGATCTAATCTTGCTATCTTGTCGAGGATTGGCAAAATGCCAAATAAGGCAATTCACTGTGTCAACTTAATTTTTGTAAACTTTAACTCTATGAACTTTATGAACTTGAACATGGTGTTTCAGAATATTCACTTTTTACAAACAAAGATGTGAGTTATTGTATGTGTATGTAAAATCTTAAAAATTGTACAGTATAAAAGTGTATCAAATACATATTTTTTATTTTTTTAAAAACACATACCTCAAATAATATATAGTATATACTTTTGATTTTTGTTCTACTTTAGTATTATCCAGTCAGTAAAGTAGAGATTTTTAAATATTGTTTTATGTAATTTACACGCATTCTGTCTTCACACTTGACTTTATAGTAAAAGATTTAATTGGATTGTAGATTTTTCTAAGTAGAGGGGGCAGTCCTTCAGGTAGGCTATATCATCCTGTTCGAAGTGATTGTATCTAAGCTGAGTGATTGTGGTGAAGACAAAACACGACGCGAAAAATAAAACAACAATTTCAACATTGAACTGAGCTGACCTGTATGAACTTAATATCCTGATATATCGCTAATGAAATAGCTTGAAATTGGATATAAATATCATCTAGTACAAAATAAATATGACTTAGAACATTTGTGGTGCAGTTTTCATTTGATTTTTGTCATGGTGTCTCACCTTTACAACAACCATTTCAAAGAAAAAATAAAAGTTTCTTTGATACTTTCAACTTACGAGAATCACTTTTTATGTCCCCACCACATAGTGTGGGGCCATATTGTCGGCCTAGGCGCGTCCGTCTGTCCGTCCGTACGTCCGTCCATCTGTCCGTCCGTCTGTCCGTCCGTCTGTCCGTACGTCCGGGATTTTTCTCCAAAACCGCTACAGATATCACCTTCAAATTTTCAGGGATAACTTATGAGTGCATACAGATGTGGATGAAAAAATTTTCACTCGATACCTACTTCCTGTCGGCCATTTTGAAGTCAAATGCTAAAATCCTTGTCTGCAAACTTTAAGAAAAACGGCTTCACAGTTGCTTTTAAAACTTTAACATCTTGTTCAGCTCACTTCATTCTAGATCTGATTAGGTTTTGGACCTGTTAGCTCAGTCATGTCAGCCATTTTGAATGTCTTAAGAAAAGTTAGCGCACGATAATACTTTGTATCATATTGAATGGTGTTTTTGAGTTTTCATACTTTAACTATTTAGTAGCTTTATAAATAATTTCAGATGTACTTTGTTGTAAAAGCCTATGTTATTGTTAACAGTAGTTATATGTGATAATTTTGTAAGAAGAAATCAGCAAAAACACATAATCACTTTTTTATTGTCGGCCATTTTGGATTTTTCCGTCCTAAAATCTTGTCTGTGAGGTCTTGTCTACGTGTTTTCAGGTGAACTGTTTGGTGGATCAATTTCAAATTTTCAGGGATGATTCTTAGTATAAAAATCTAGATCTGATTTGTTTTTTGGCATTCTGGGTAAATGTCAAGGCAGCCATTTTGGATTTTCCGTCCTAAAATCTTGTCTGTAAAGTCTTGTCTACGCGTTTTCAGGTGACACGTTTGGTAGATCAATTTCAAATTTTCAGAGATGATTCTTAGTATGAAAATGTAGAACTGATTAGTTTTTTGGCATTCTGGGCAAATGTCAAGGCAGCCATTTTGGATTTTCTGTCCTAAAATCTTGTCTGTAAAGTCTTGTCTATGCATTTCCAGGTGAACTGTTCTGTAGATCAATTTCAAATTTTTAGGGATGATTCTTAGTATGAAAATCTAGATCTGATTAGTTTTTTGGCATTCTGGATAAATGTCAAGGCAGCCATTTTGGATTTTCCGTCTTAAAATCTTGCCTGTAAAGTCTTGTCTACGCGTTTTTAGGTGAACCGTTTGGTAGATCAATTTCAAATTTTCAGGGATGATTCTTAGTTTGAAAATCTAGAACTGACTAAACTTTTGGCATTCTGGGTAAATTTTAAGGTGGCCATTTTGGATTTTCCGTCCTCAAATTGTGTTGGTAAAGTCTTGTCTACTCATTTTCAGGATAACCATTTCATGGGATCACCCATTGGTGGGGACATTTCCTTGAAGAAGTATTGATTTCATATGATGTAGAATAGTTGTACAGTTGTAGAAAAAACTCATTGCCTTGCCTATACATACATGTATTGTATATTATAGAAATATATCAATTTTTGTTACGTCATTCCATAGCTTGTACAATATTTTGCCTCAAACACAAATAGGTAATTTACATTAGTGTATTGCCATAAAGGACCAGTTATACTATGGCAAGTGATTTTAGATGGTCATATCTTTTACCATGAGTACTTTCTCAATTTAAATATGACATTTCTGATGAACACAATATTTTATCATTCAAGTAAATTCTCAAGGGTAATGAAATAAAAATATCGAACAATTCGAAAAATTATGAAGAGAACCCCAAGTCAACATTTTTTCAAAATATTGAACCTATTTACTCAAATGAGGATTTTTTTTTTTATTGCACGGAAAGATTATTCAACAATGAGTCTGGCATGTCATAAGTAGACTGTTATTGAAAGTTTAGTTTTGAAGATATCAATTTTCAATGACCAAAATTATGCTGAAAACCATGGATATCATGAGTTTACCCTATGGATTGATATTGTTATTATCATGGGGGCTTCACTTTTAGAAAAAATATTGTTTTAATAAAACAATATTACTACTTAAAGCCAGAAAGATATGACTGTCCAAAATCGCTTGACCTACTATACCTGGTCTTTTTATTACAAAATAATGTTGGAGAGAAAGTCAATAAGGAATTTCAAAATACATTCTTTGCATGTTTAACAATAATAAGTTTATGAATATAAATCTAGGATAGCAAATACAGATACGTTTAAAAGTGCTTTTTATTCAAGTCGTATGTGAAATATTTTTCTGCAAGGTTTCGTAAAAATATTGTATTGCTTTCTGTTGTTTATCTATCTGTCTGGTTTTTCTTGAAAGGTAAAAATTAAAGCGTTCATTTTTTTACTTGCCAATAATTTTATTAATAATGCATATTTTTGATAGGGGGACAAATAAATCCTCAATCAGTTTTCAATGGCTTTTCTGAAGAAGAAAATTTAACAGATGCTAGGTAGGGCTCTTGCCAGGCTTTTAGACTGAGGCGCAACGCCACACTCTATTTGGCTCCCACAACAACCTATTGGCAAATCATGATTGTTTCCAAAGTCTAAACTTGACTGAATATACTATAATAGAACGTAATTAGGATAAAATATAACATAAATATGGTTTATCACGATTGAATGGTTGTTTGAAAAATGTTTGCACCACACCCTAAATATTTCCTGGTGAGAGCCCTACCAGTTTGAGCCTTGAGGACGATATTCAAAGCAACAATTTTCTACTGATAACAAAAATACCAGATTGACATTTCATTCATTCTGTCAGAGGAACACATAGGGAAGGGGGTTCAGCATACTAGTATTCAGAAATTATTTCCTGACAAAAATGGAATATTTGAAGTACAGTATCCAGTTAACATCTGCATAATTCAGGAATTATTTCCTAACAATAATGGTATACTTGAAGTACAGTATCCAGTTAACATCTGCACCATTGCTTCGCAACAATCAGGCAGTTTCTATATCTCCCTTACCTACTGCCCAACTGCCCAATGACCATAAAGCAAAAATAAGTGAGATGAAGAAAAACTGTAATAGCATTGAGAAAAATTGTAATTAGAAGAATAATTTGTTTCATGAAACTAAAGATTTTTGCATCCATTACATTCATGTCTACATTTTTTTATTTATTATTTCGAAAAATGTACACACTTTTGCGCTTTAATTCTTTAATAACTTCGCCATTTGATCACCTAGATCTTTTGGGAGATAATGCATTCTATATTTTACAACAGATGAATGGTGATTGAACTTGATTACTCCCACTCTTATAAAGGCAACATATTACTGCAAATGACATTCTAAATTGAGCAGTTTAAGATTGCCACATAGTCTTTGAGACGATTAGGCAGAGGTAACGCCCCGATACCGGCTTTTATACTCTTTCCATTGCGGACTTCTTGGAGACGAGAACGTAAACACAGACGTGACAACTCCTTCAACGATAATGCGTTACTCTGTCTTTCCAGTAGAAATATGTGACACTCAATGTCTGCTTTCAAGTCTGCTGTTTGAAGAGATAACGGTGTCTGACTTAAAATATTCAATTGTCTCTTTAAAAATGTCTGGTTTAATCCACGGTCTATTTGAAGTTTATAACCACCATAAATCAGCCACTGGATTAATTCAGGGTTTTTGTGCTTCATCGCTATATTAATTTGGCTAGTGTGTTCTATTCCAGTGACGCGTGCACCATGCTGGATTAAGATTCGTAAGACTTCAACACGGTCCTTAATTACTGCATTTTGTACAGGAGTGTAATCTCTAGAGTCCTTTAAATCCATGTTAGCATTCTTTTCTATTAAGAACTCAGTTGATTCAGCATGACGATATGTAGCTACATGTAGTGGAGTTTCAAGGTTGGAATTTCGAAAATTAATATCTGCTCCAAAATCGAGCAATAACTGCATGCATGGAATATGGTTATTTTCAGCCGATTGCATGAGAGCACTGTTAACATCTAACCCTCTATTGAGAGTCAGTAAATGCTCTGCAACCTTGACATGACCCCTCAAACAGGCTAAATCCAGAGGGGAGAATCCAAAGTTATCTATTTGATCAAGGGGTATACTTTTCTTGGTTAGATATTGAACAATTGTGAGGTTTCCTCTTACTGATGCTACATGCAGGGGAGATCGACCATCGGCATCAATCGTGACATTTGCATCATGATCTAGTAATAAGTTTACCATTTCAGCATGGTCACTATAAGTTGCGTAATGTAGAGCAGTCCTAAAGTAAGATCCTATCCAGTTAACATCTGCACCATTGCTTAGCAACAATCGAGCAGTTTCTATATCCCCATTACCTGCTGCCCACTGTAGTGCACTTTTCGGCAACTGACTTTCAATATTGTCATCTTGTTTATATTTAGCCAATAAAATTTCAACTATTTTTGGTTGACGACATCTTGCGGCTGTGACAACAGGTGTTTCTTTGGCGCAGTACTCTATGCAATAACTTATGGAATTAATATCCACCCCAAGGCCAAATAACAGCTTCACCATTGGGATATTTTCGTTGGTTATTGCACTATAAATGGCTGTTTTACCATGATATTCTTCGTTGATTATCCTTGGAACCTTTGAAGTCAATTCTTTGACAGTTTCTGTATCATTGTTGATTACTGCTCTGTGTAAGTCTGGAACATTTGGAAGACTGGAAGATGCCATTGTTGATTCCATCTGAAACATTTATAAGAAAATACATATATCTGAGCAATTCTTGATGATAAAACAGCACAGTACAGTACGGTTTAAATCCCCCCCCCCCCGGATCCGCCATAGTTTATAGTAGGACTTCCCCCCACTGGCTATCCGTGAAACGAAAGAAATTAGAAAACTAGAGCTCTAAGAAAAAAAAATCATGAAAACAGACTAGATCTAGCCTACATTTATCCCGTGCCAGGACTATATTTGTTTGGTAGGTCTTATGTCAGTACCAAAACATATTATACATACAGTCTCTAGTTGTAGGACCAATCAAACCCCCTGGTGATGCTTTTATTTGTGTGTATTTGATAAAATTATCATGTTTTTATTTCCGCATTCAGCATTTGACCTTGGACTACACCGAACGAAACTTAAAGAAACGAAGATAAAAAAGTTCCCCGGGATTTGAGGTGGTCTATTGACGCCTGTTGACTTCATGACAATTATATAGCAGAGTACATGGAGTAACTTGTCCCATATATGCTACAAGCCCTTGTGACCCACCACTACCAAGCGGGGCTTGTAGCTAGACTATCAACACTACTGGCATTATAGTCCAACCATGGACGTATATCATCGATATACGTCCATGGTCCAACTCGCCTCGTTTCTTATCTGACATCAATAACGGGCAAGATAATAGTAAAGAACGCCGTTATTGAGTTTAACGACGTTGAACTACTGGCATTACTGTAACTACGAGGGTTGATTCAAAAGTTCTGCACCGTTTGCTCTAAAAATCTCAATGCTTTATGAATATAGTTTGCCTCAGCCACCCCGTGTAAAGCGGGTAGAAAACGCAATAGTGTTCGCGGGTTTTTATGACACATGCGCAGTAGAAATTGTCAATTTACTGAGCGGAACTTTCAATGGCCTGGAGAAATTTTACTCACGAGAATTGATGATTACTGAACACATATAGGCATAAGAGGTGAGCGACCCAGTTGTTTTTGCGTATAAATGTTTCAAGAATAGTATGATATCAAATAATCTGTACATTATGCTACGATTCATTCAAAAATTGAATCTAGAGGACAGGTGACCATATTTTTTTCATATTTTTTAAATTTTTAGTCGCATTACCTGGTGTATATACCTCATAGATGGAGGACTTCCAACTATCCGTGACCAAATCAGAGACATAGAAAAATGTTTTATTTGTCTCTGACCAAATGTATCCAAAAGGAGTCAGTCATGCCTGTGAATCAATTATTTTTCAATTAGACCAATGTCTGACTGCTATAATTATACATGCACGGGTTTTCTTTTTTGGATGTGTTATTGAATCTCGTTCAATGTTTCATTCCTTTTCCCAACAAATCACAAAATTGAATGTTGTTCCTTATTTTTATCTAAATCGTCCTTTTTTGAGATTGGCGCAAAAAAGGCTGACAGTGTTGACCAAGCAAGTGGTACAACATGTTATGTTAACTTATATCATTTTTTATGACATCATAGTTAGCAACTATGCATAACCCTAATTACAAACCGCTCCACAATTGTCGCACTCTTGCTCCACATACCCTGTTGTCACGTTGCTATGTTAACCAGACACATTTGTTACTAACCGGCCAAATTTATGACTTATTTTTACAAAAAAATGAAACTACTATATAAGCTATTCAGACTAGCATACCTAAACTTTTATGTTAATAGCTATATATTGGTAGCTGAGGTCAAATATGAACAATACTCAGTTTTGAGACTAGTGACTTTTAGAGCAAACGGTGCAGGACTTTTGAATCAGCCCTCGTATGTATTATATCGGCTAACAAGGTAACATTTGAATTTTAAATCATTTGAATGAGAAGCGCAATTATGATGTTCATTGCAACATCAATTAAAATGATTGCATCTAAACTTTAAATCAGTTTATTGATTTTAGATATTTAAGTACTTACGTATACATCTGTTTTGACATATGTAATAATAGGGGGTACTGGAGATGAGAAATTAATGTACTGTTTTTTGTAAGTAGACCTATGTCTGACATATATTTGTTTTGTTATGTTACATTCGGTTTCATTAGAGATTGGTGCATTTGCAATTAATCGTCTGTTATGCCTCTTGCTTGTGATTTCTATGATGACTATTGAGTACAACTACCCGATCAAAAACATTTGGCATCCGATGTATCTATTTCTGATGGTGACACCTTAACTCTCATTAATGATCAATTGAAGTGAATATATCAAAAGGGATCCATGGAAACGATAGAATAAATAGAATTAGGTAAAGGGGGGGGGGGGGGCTCGGATAAATCACAATATGTCGATTGTAATGCAATAACTCAATTAATAAAGGATCGATGACCTTTACCGATAGCAAATTCCCAATTAATAAAAATGACTGCAACTGTTTATTTGCTTAATACTTTTTGAAACACGACAATAATTACAAGAATAAATGATGGTACATAAAAAGTTTTTGTTCATTTCAAGTTGTATCGTTGTCAGTGTTTGTTGCTTTTATATATTTGATCAACTTACGATAGTAGAAAAAACAGATATTAATTCAACCATTAACGGATATCCAATAATTCCATATAGCAAAATAAGAAAATGGAGATCATGTTCGGCGAATGCTCAGAAACTGTGTTCATTGAACCATGGTCGCAGTGCGACATCTTTCAATAAAACAAAGAAAGAATCAAGCATTCCTTTAGAAGAAAGAATCACAGTTGTCGTAAAAACAATAAACTCACGGGGATCATTAGTAATACGAATGATTCGTTCATTGTGGGAATTTTACAATAAAATGAAGGTGATAATCGTAGGTGAAACAAATCCAAATTTCCACCCAGGAAATGACTTATATGACTTCATCATGGAAAACCAGCAATATCTCGTTTATATTCAAGTAACAGTTGACTCTGGTATTTCATATGGCCGCAATGTCGGTGTAAACGCGGCCAGCACGGATTTGATATTTCTCATTGATGATGACGTAATGTTCACTAACGAAACAGACCTGAGGAAGATGGTAAACATTATCGATACAAGTGACATATCATTGGTGGCTGGAGTATATCATCTTGGATTGACTGGAATATTCCATATCCTTAAATCCAGGCTATATATTTTCAAATATACGTTCTACGAAAAACTACCGTACTTTGAGCATTGCTACAGAACCGATATAACACAGAACGTTTTTCTTGCAAAGCGGGAGGATCTTATTAAGACAGATATGTGGAGACCCGATCAAAAAATATTAGAGCATTTGGATTTTTTCCTGACTTTAAGGAAACATGGTCTCAAGGTTGCATCATGCTTGGATATAAATCTCAAGCACGACAGACTAGCTACTGGTAGCACTAAGACGAGAAGTAAAACCGAGATTTTCAAATATCGAGGAATGTATCAGTTTAACTGGGGTCTAGAAGGCTGGTACACCAGTTGCAATCCTAGTCACTATCACGACCCAATTAATGTTCTTGAGACGTTCTGTCAAAAGTTGATACACTAAAAACCGCTAAACTGTGAAATACGTTCTGTCAAAAGTTGATACACTAAAAACCGCTTAACTGTGAAATACGTTTTTTCAAAAAGTGAAAAAAGTATGAAAATATGTTTTCAAATAGTATGTAGTATACATCTGTATACTTTTGTACATACGTTACCCAAGGCATTAGCGAACTCGAAGGGAATATATGTGAATTTCCAAATTGAAATTTGGGTCCATCCGAAACAGGTCGAATTTCAAATCTTCAGCCCCTGATCAACATGTCGAGCTATTATGCAACATTTTCCAAAAAGCAAGAACGTTCCTCGTGGTACTCAACTGTCCTTTCATTATTGGATTTGGACTACAAGCATACTATTTTCTTTTTGATGTGCATCACTTATCAATATGAACCATTTGGGTACATCGTTTTTCTCAATTTTTTCTTACGTTTTGTTTTATTTGAGTAAAACCGAAAGGGTCGACCATAAACGATGCAATCATGAAAACTGATGCCAAAGACGATTAGAAAATGATTTTTTACCTATTTAACAGTTTTATTTGGGAAGAATCGACCGTAAGGCCAGTTCACTTTTAAATTAGGAAACGCTTACAACACGAATGGGCATTTTTATATGTAGGATATGACAGTATATGCTAAATATTACTCCATTCATACAAATGACTTTACTGCTTTCCACAAATTCAGGTCATAGTAAAACTGATCCGTCGGCCATTCTTTCCGTCCTATTGGATTACATTTACATTGCAGGCAACGCTCATTTTTCAATGGAAAACCTTGTTTCGATCTTCTTTGCTAAATGTTTACTGGGAATGGTTGGTACAGCCGGATTTGTAGAAAAATCGGGTACCAACCATGCTGCTCCTCCATGCTGGGTTCAAACTTGGTACCCGGTACCTGGTCGAAAAAACCGGGCTCCCAAAAAACGAAAAATACGAATATATACATGTAACAAAATCATTAGAAAATGTGTAAGATTTATTTTATTTTTACAAAAATGTATGTAACTTCCTTCAAAATTGAGCTAGAAGCTTCAAATAGCATTTTAAGGCTCTATTTATCTTGGTCATATTCTCATTGGTTATGGGGGGGGGGGTGCCACCCGCTCCTGGCTACGCCTATGACATTGATAGACCATTTATACACTTTAGTGGACGTTTCGTCGAAAATTGGGATAACTTAAATTATAATTAATAATCAAAATCTTACACGTTGCATCATGTAAATTAACACACGTCACATCTCTGCTAAAGTAACGGTAGCTATATACAGATTTAAATCATAATCAAAACAATTCACATACCAACATACGAACTATTGAAAATAGAGTAAGATTGATTTGTCATGTTTTTCAAATCGTCTTACAATGTCATAGGCGTAGCCAGGAGGGGGTGTGATCGCACCCCCCCCCCCCCCCATAACCAATGAAAATATGACCATGACAGAGGAAGAAAGGAGCCTTAAAATGCCTTTTATTTGAAGCTTCAAGCTCAATTTTGAAGGAAGTTACATACATTTTTGTAAATTCAAAACAAATCTTACACGTTTTCTAATGATCTAATTATGTTATATATTAGTATTTTTCGTTTTTTGGGGTACCCGGTTTTTTCGACCAGGTACCGGGTACCAAATTTGAACCCAGCATGGAGGATTTACTACCCGCTACCCGTTTTTTCTACAAACCCTTGTGTTGTGTCATGACGTCACACCTTGGAATGGCGAAGCGGCAGCAAATACGGTTATTTCATTGACATAAATCGCCAATTCTCTGAACAATATTTTCATTTTCTAAGTTTGAATCGGAATTAATAATGGATAGGCCATTCAATATGGTGAAATTCTACACAGCTCGTTGGACAGAATGTCAGTACAAATGCACTCACCTTCGGTTCGTGCTTTGTACTACATAAAAGTGTCCAACACGTACTGCATCATTATTTTATTCCTTAAATAAAATTGGAAAAACTTAGATGATGAACTATATTGTATCATTTTGTGTCATCATCATTGGGTGATGACATGCAAAACTTTATAACAATTAAATAAGTTTCAGCAAAAGCATTATGGAATAAATAGGTTATTAATGGTTGTGATGGAATATGATTTTTTCCTAGAGAAAATATTATATAACTCGGTAAATATCATAATGACACTCGGGCTATCGCCCTAAGTCAATATCATATTTTCCTTGGCCAATATCACATTTACCCTGGGAATAAAATCCATATTCCACCTCTCCCATTAAATAAGCTCCATTTTTATATCACTGTCATATTCACTCTCTGATTGGTCTATATCCCACGAGAAATAAAAATAAGCAAATATTTCATTCTATGGAGGGCAATACATGTTGCAAAATCATTGAAAGTGCATCAGGCATTGCCTGAACATAGAATGAAACATTTGTTTTATTATATCTTTGCAGCACCCCCCCCCCCTGGGTGGGGCCAAAAAAGGCCTTTTTGGTCATTACTAAACCTTGGGTTTTAGGGGCCCAATTTTTTTTCTCTGACCTGATATTTGCCCCCCCCCCCCCCAGTTGGTTCCCAGATCCGCCCCTGACAGTCATACCCAAAAGTTCTGGAATATATAAAAACATAGTATTTTCAAATTGAGTCACGTCCAAGTTTGGATTTACCTCATTAAATTGTATATGGTATATGTGGTATGGCATACCCGTAAACTATGCTGATCAAGACTATGGATTATCTTTTATATCATTGGTGCAGCAAAATACTATTTTCAGGAGATGGTGCATACAGCACTGCAACTAAGAAGAGATATTATGATGCACCAAGCTACCAAGCAACTTGGTATTGTCTAAATGACTGATGTTCTAATAAGGCTGTCCAAAATGATTTTATTGCTCCACCCCCATAGTTTGCTCTCCCCCATTGTTCATATTTTTTAATCAAATAAAAGAAGGTTTGAATCAATAAATCTTTTTAATCGCTATTTAGACTATTACTCAAAATAATAAAAAAAAAGCCTCCGCTTAAAACGTTAAAAATTTATAATGGAAAATGATCGTTTTGAGTGGAGGATGTTCACGCCTTTTTCATTAACTTCGTATTCAGTCATTAAGGTTTCTAACGAATGTCTTGCAGAAGTATGATTGACAATTGTCTCTGCTTGCGCTGGTTCATTTTATCTGAGAATAAAAAGTAGTTTTCAGTTAAATAACAATAAATTGTGCGGAAACATTGAAAAAACCTGCTCCACCTCATTGTTCAAAATAGTCGATGACAGGCTGTAATGATGATAGTGACAATTATGTTTCCACATAACATTATAAGTTTTAATATCCATTTTATATTAATAGTAAACCAACTATCGCGTCTGCAAATGTTTTGAGTTTACATAAAGTATATACATTCATGGTGACATACACCACATTCGAATATTTTACTTCTATGAACATTTGAGTAATACAACATATGAACTGGAATATGACACAATGGGTACGAAATAAAATTTAATTAAAATATATTATTTTTCTTGGTGAAGTGCTAATTCGAGTAGTAAACCTTAATAATATCTCTATTATCAATGCATATAAATAGTACATTGACAATTTATTTCACTTATGGGCAAACCACAAGCAAATTCCCTAAAAGCTCCCAAAAATCTCCATAATCAATCAAATATGGTTTATTTTCACTTTTTATAGTTAATCAGACTGTTTATACTAAAACAAATTTTCAAAAAAAATCTTTTTAATTTCAATTTTTTCTGCAAAAAACACATTTTTCACCCAAAATCACATTTTGACACCTATTTCTTTTTGTTAAATATCAGGACCAATTTAGGAACCCTTTACCCTTCAATTGGTAAACGTGAATTGCTGACTCGTCAAAATATAAGATGTCATTCCAACATATCAATATATTTTTGTCAGCATGGATCCCATGCAGAACTGGCATATTCTTTAGGCCGGACAAAATGTATAGTCCTGCGTAGGCGGTTACCGTTAGTGATTTGGATTTCTGTATAAAAAGTCATTTTTCTCCTTCGCCAGCTGGCGTTTGGGAAGTGAATCGGGACTAATTATTTGTAGGGTAGGTCCTAATTTATCTGAAAACATGTCAAAGTAAAGTGGGAAATCTCATCAGTTTTAAGCTGGCGGCGGAGTGATTTTGACCTTGGATATTTTACCAGAATTCTCTGAGAAATCTGACGATAGAGGGGATACGTTTCTTCAAGTTTATTTATCCCAAAAATTCGGTCGACAAACCATGGTACAGATTGTTATAGCAGGCTAGGCGAGTCTCTCCCGCACACTGTAGTATGTTGCTCTAGACTTGTGGATACTATGGGAAACTCTTCTGGAGTCTCCAACCTTATATGCCTGAGGCCTTATCACGCGCTCGTCGCAAGATTTGCATTTGCGTCTGCGTTGCGTTTGCGTTTCGACAATTTGCGTAAGCGCAACTCCTAAGTTGCGTCTTATCACGCAGATCGCAACTTTTAAAGTGGTAGTTAACCGCATGCGATCGCAAAAATGTAGAATTTCAACTTAGTATCAGGGTCGTTCAAAAAGTTTTGCACGAAAGCTCACGAGAAAAGATTTTATCATTCTTACTTGGGATTTGATACAGATATAGTATACGAGGGGTGATCAATAAGTAATGGACGCTTTTAACGGATGCTTTTTATAGACTAATACCTTCGATTTTCTTACCATTGATACATCATTCAATTATCTATCAACTCTGGAGATTTGAACACAAAACATGCAATATATTTTGATATATCTTTTTTCCATGAAGGAGGTATAGGTACCCCGGGACCGACATGACGTCAAACATTCTGAAGCTATTTTAGCTTGTTTAACAAGCAACGCAGTTGAATGCAGGCTGAAAAAAACAAACCATTATGGTCATGAATTGCCCTATTTTGTTATGCCATAGTTAATTTTGAATATTTTATCATCACTGTGGTATTCATGCCACACTCATTCTACAGGGCCCTCTACATAGGTTTCATCAAGTGCTACATGTACACAATTCCTTATCCTCAACTCAAGATTGAGAGACAAGACTGAATCCATTCTCTGACATGGTAGCAAGATGCAGTTGCACGGGTTGTTTTATTTCATCAATGTCAATAAACCTGCGTCCCTTCTCTATAGAAATAAGTAGTATAGGAATAAATAAGCCACATGTGGGCAGATCTGGACAATATGGTGCATTGGCCAAGGGCTCAATTTTGAGCTCCAGGGATATTGTTTTCTGAACATTTTGAGATCTGTGGGCAGGTGCATTGTCCATGTGGAGTAGGGTGTTTCCTTCTCTCACCAACCCCTTCTTCCACAATGCTTCCTCAAATTGACCTGCAGACCCCGACCATACAACACTCTGACATTACAGTTCTTACTGCTTGTTTCTGTGATACCAGTCA